TCAAGATGGGTGAAGCGATCGGAGCTCGCAGCATTGACTTGGAGTGGGTGCAGGTCCGTTCTTCTTGCGGGGAACCCGCACGCGTGTGGTCTCTTTTTTGGTGGTCTCGAAGGTGGTTCAATTGAGCAGCGTTCTAAATTCGCCCTTTCTTTTTAGTCAGGGACCGGCGAAAAATAAGTGAACATAGTGATCTTAGCTGATGTTTGTGAGGTGTCCGTAAGGTTTGCCGTAAGGATGTGCAGACTTGAACGATGCCGGAAGGCTACCGGAAGCGACACTTGTATACACTTGTTGATTTTGATTCTGTTTCCTTTCTTGTTTTGCAACAACATTTCATATGTGACCATAGTGGACTTGCATATGTTCGCCGTAAGCAAAACGTAAGAATAGCCATGCATACATGTGTCACCGTAAGCAAAGCATAGAAACACGTAAGTTTTGCGTAAGGCCCACTGTAAGGTTTGATTTCTCGGCAAGAAAAGAAAACACAATTTTGAACACCGCTCAATTGAATGTTTATCCACTCATATCGGTCCATATATATATATATACTAAGTAATCTCGCACACCTCTCCACCTCCAAACCTCTAAACCTCCCAAAGCGGCAAAGCGATTTTTGTTTGGCATTGGGCCCCATTCCGTCCCACACCACCGCGCTGGCCGCCCAGCGCTGGCACTGTGCGCAGGTCCATCCGACCGGTTTGGTGGAGCCCGATGACCCCGAGGCAAAGATCAAGTTCTTGGCCGCCGAGGCCCTGCGCGGCGTGGGCGGCTTGGTCATCAATGCGGAAGGACAACGCTTCTGCAACGAGCTGGGGCGCAGGGATTACGTCACGGGGGAGATGTGGAAGTCCAAGGCCAGGATGGGGGATGAGAGGGACGACAGAGGTGCTGTCGATCAGTGAAGTGTAGGAGGAGTTGTGGAAGGTGATCAGTGCTGGCCGTGGTGGCACTTAGTGGGGCCATGCATGGGAGTGCTCACTCACACACACACACACATGCATCAGGTTTGTTTGTATAGAGGGTATTTCTAGATTTGTCCTGTTACAGAGTCGCCTGATTGGAGACAAACCTATACGGCTGCATCGCCATTCCTGCTGCATCGCCGGCCTACCCAGCGCCCTTTGCGCAGCCGCCCTACCGGCTGATCCTCAACAAGGCGGCCTCCGATGAGATCATTTGGCATTGCAAGCACTACACCGGTCGCGGGGTGATGAAGTTCTATGCCTCGGGCGAGGACGGCAAAGCAGTTTGGTCTTATCCTATGGATGTCTTTGGTACTTGACAGAGTTGAATACAATTGATTGCAGTCGTGTCAAAGAAACTGCACAAAGACAGTTCCGTCCTGAACCCAGTGCTAATATGTGCAGAGCACCCGTTTTTGGGGTCAGATGGGACGTTCAGCATGGATTCAGCATGTGGATGCAGAAAAAACTCCTTGCTGGGCCCAATATCATCCTTCCAGGCCCTTCCGGGCCCTTCCAGCCCAGGAGCTTTGCAAAGACATGCAGATCCCAGTGAGCACCTTGGAGGCCACCCACCAGCAGCATTTCGAGGCGGCCAAGAAGCAGGAGAAGGATCCCGAGGGTGGACCTTACCCAGCCTACCCTTCAGGCGCAGGGTTTGGTGGATTCGTCGTTTTGTTTGGTGGGTCGTCTGGTCGGATGTGCGTTGGAATGCAGACTTTTTAGAATACCCGGTTGTTCAATTTCAATGATCATTTCACTGAGACCTTGGAGCCCTTTGGAAGATCATGGAAGACGATGGAAGATCTATAGATATTACATTGCTCTTCAATGTATGGAACCAATATGGAAGGACACTAAATGGAAACATATACATATTACATTCAAGATTCAAGATCATTCAAACTACGCATATACATTAGTATGCTAAATGACCATTCCTTGCTCATGGCTTCTCCGTCGACCCTGCATCACTCCCTTCGTATCCGAAGGCAAGACCTGGGACGAGCCCAGTGGGAAGACGGGCGTCGGCAAGAAGTTCTTCCACAACATTATCGATGGCTCCAAGGCACCTGGCGCCAGCCACCATGAAAGACCAAAAACGAGTGACCACAGACCGCCCCTCTGGAGAAGTTTCACCATGTTTCACAGAGGGTGAAAACAGTATTTGGCGGTATTTGGCGGGGTTATCAGTGTCCTTTCATGGCCATCTATGAACGGAAGGAATGTTGCTGCAATTTCGTTGGCTTCACTTGCACGACGTGTTTCTGATCGCATGGAGTTCCTACAACTATAGGTTTGCGTGGGGGAAGCTCATTGAAAGGTGCCTGCGACTGACAACCTGAATCTTTATAATCTAGATAAGAACGCAGGCAAAAGCGACCTGGCAGTGGCGTATATGTCGGCGTCATCGGAGTTCCAAGACGTTCCAAGAGCTCAGCAATGTGTTGAAGGACTCAATTATCATCCATTATCTAATCCCATAAACTGCCATACTCTGTGACGAAGCACAAGTGCTTCGTTTCACTTTCGGCTGGTTCGGGACTTACAGAAGAACTGGATTGCAGCATGAGGAAATGGAACCCATTGGTTTCGAAGAGAAACTAACCTTTTACACAATTACGGTTTGGTCTCGTCTTTTTGCTAGACTAGGTGGGACGGCCGAAAGCACCCAAACTTGAGCCAGTGTGTTCAACACATTGAGTTTGGCGAGTTTAAGGGTTTCCTCCAAAGACCCGATTGACTGTGAATTGGCTCATGAGGGGCATTGGCTCAGGATCCCCCAATTCAAAAAAAAACAAATTGACGAGTTTGCGGAGTTTGATTCGGCAGGTGAAGGCCGAGCCCTTCTACTCGGCCACTTGGTCTTTTCACAGAGAAGTTAGAAGCTGTTTAATGAATTTGATGTAGCGGTTTTGGTGGATACATGTCTTGTTTAAAAGAAGATGTGTTGAGACCTGCTTCAGTGGTGGACCTGTGACAAGCGCCTCCACTTTCACAAGGTTATCGTTAAGCCGCTATTCAACCGCAAGTAGTGTGAGAATGGGTGTGGAACACCACACACTCGCATGAAAGAACTTGTACTCGGAACAATTGAAGTCGAACAAGGCCCCTTGGATGACCATGTTCTTCTTATTTCCATGATGATTTCAGGGAGTCTGGACTGGCGTGTTGTCATGCCATGTCATTGCCATGTCATGATCCTTAATTGCTCTTTGCCGAGAATTGTTTGGGGCTCTGGCACAAGGCCTGTCCTTTTATTTCCCAAAGTTGGGTGTTTGTGTCCTTCATTCCAGGTATGAGTGAACCTGGGATGTCGAACCAGATTCAAGAAGTGTGTTTTGACGTTTGACTCAGCATTCCATGAGCCACATGAACTCTGGAAGTCCAGTCATGACTGATGTAAAACACCTAACCAGTGGATGTCCAGTCATGACCCATCTCGTCCATTCCCGGAAGCTCGAGTGGGAACTGTAGGCCATCATCACCCCAGTGATTCACTACTGCATGGGCGGCCTCGAGATCGACGCGAACTCCGCCGTGGTGGACACATCGGGCAAAGCCATCCCGGGGCTCTACGCTGCTGGCGAAGTGGCGGGCGGCGTCCATGGGAACAACCGCCTTGGTGACCAGGACCAGAGGGTGGTTTTTGAACATGTTTTGATACAGACTCCCAAATAGATAGAAAAGTAAAACACCTTTCAACATGTATTGGATACCATTTCTACCAAAATAAGTGGGGACCGTTCTTTTTTGTGAGGATGCTTTTGGGACTTTGGGGGGAGTTCTCAATCAGAGGAAAGCTATAATCACATGTTTTTAGTGAGTTATAACTTGCGTTCGTTGCTTAATTTTAGACTATGGAGATCCCCCAACCACTGGGGTTTAGATTGTCCTTGTCTTTGGGACATGAGCCCTCTGGGATTCGATGATGTGCTAAAAAATAGCTTATTGGAAATGCGACTTGAACTTCCGATTGGACATGCCCTTGGAGGGACCTCTTCAGGGGATGTGATTAGCGAATCCAAGGTGGCAACTCCTTGTTGGATTGCGTGGTGTTTGGGCGTGTGGCCGGCAAGCACTGCGCAAAGTACATGTTGGGCGACAAGTTCAAGAGCATGGATCCTTGGCTGAAGGTTATTGCGACTGTCCACACCTGCTCTACTTGACACTGAGCAACACCTTTTGCCCTTGCAACACACAGATCGAAAGTGACCAACCTCCGGATACAAACAAATGCAAGAAGCTGAAGCCCATGCTTTTCCCCTGCAAGTCTTTCAACTTTGGATGTTTGCTTTTTTAACTCACCCAGGATCTCAAGGAGCTTTCAGGAGGTGGCTTGGCAGCCGATAAGGCTCCTGCTGCCAAGCTGTGAGAAGCGAGTTGACAACTCCCTCCCGTTTGAAGCGAGAAGGACTCAGACTCCTCCCAGCAGACCAGAAATTTTCGCTGAGCCCTGACAAGTGCTCCGGCAAAAGGAGCGGTCTTTGCAAGCCAATTTCTTTCGAGATGTCGGCCAGTTTCTTTTGAGAGTTCGTTGCAGCTTCTACGGTGGTTTCACAGTGGATGGCACAATCCCGAAAAGGTGATTTATATGGACCCCCGCATCAAGGACCTCTTTGGGTTTGTGCCATCTACTCTGAAACCACTGTATTCTTTTAAACTGGGGAGCGGAGATCGTCCGGATCCGTGTCGTTCATTGTTTTTTTTCCGACACGGCCAGTACTGTAGCTCTTGTCACTCGTGTCGACACGGCCCACGCCAGTGAAATGGGCCGGAACAGAATCCCGTCATGTTCTTGATTTTTCAAATGATGTTCATGAATTATGAATCAATTAGCAGGATATTGGGTAAAGGAAAAGCCACCGGTTCACCGGGTTCTTGGTGGAACATTGAGCCACAACCAGACAAAACCCTGATTCCATGTAAGATGCACAGATGCTATTGAGCACCTGAGCTTTGCGAATCTGCGAGCCCCTTCACGTGCACGCGGTCGGCGTCGCATCTGGCATCCGGCGACACGGCGACGCGCAGGTCACATCTGGCATGGTCATCTTCCGGTTTCTGGGTCAAACGACCTGGGACAAGGACCCGAGTCCCGTTGGATGTGCCTTGTACCATGGTCTCTCGTTGTCGTCCTGGGACGGTTTGGATGGTTTACCAGGTCCCACAGCCTGTTAGTTGCAGCGATACAGTTCCTTTGAAGCTACTCAGTGTTTTCGCATCTCAGGTTGCTTTCACGCATGTTCACGTCTCTCAATTTTGAAATGTCCTTCCTTGCATCTCTCTGAATGCGAGTTCTTCCTTTTGAATTGTTCTTGTGGTTGTTTTGTTTCTTAACGCCACAGCACTTGCACAAAAACATGTGACTGACATCAGCGAAACAATGGATGCATGAGAGAAGGGTGTGGGTCTCAAAACATCTCAACACATAATCGAATGGTCCAAAAACCACAGTCAAGCATTTTTTACAGGTGTGTGTCACTCATGTAGACTCTTGCTGTTCAGAAATAAGACCCCGCCCATTTGGATTGTAGGACCTCTTCATTTGGGTTTTATGAATCAACAGTTGTCTACAATACATTTCCCAAGTTCTGAATATGCGATTGCTGACGAGCAGAAACTCCACCACTGGAAGTGCAGCTGACACTCCTCTTCGTTTGGGCGCGATGTCGCCTCCCTGTAGGACATCTACATGTTTACGCAAGAGATCTACGCAGAACTTTGCGAGGCCAAGTCGTCGGTGACCCGGGCCGCGATAAGGGTAATCCTCGAGAGTGGGGGTATTCCTGGGCTTCCCTGGTGCGGAAGGTGTTCAGCGAAATTGGTTGATAACTTGTGACAGAAGGCAGTTGGTGTAGTTTCCAGTGTGACGCGCTTTCCGGGTGCAGTAAGCCTTCCTTGTAGACTCGTAGACTGCAAATGTTGAGCATCACAAAATAACAAATAGCAGCAACCTTGCTCCTATAGTAACTAGTATACAGCCAGGAGCTCCTAGTAGCGATCTTGCTCCTAGTAGCGATGCCAGGAGCCCCTAGTAGCGTCCTTGCTCCTATTTTCGCTTCATGGACCCTCGACTTTGCTGAGTCAGGTGGTGGACACGCGACCGACTTACATCATCAATGTCGCTCGAGGGGATGTTGAGACACTCAGTACCAGCGGACGACAAGCGAGCGAAAACAGCGAAAAGCACTCAGTGTGGAAGACGTCCAGCGAAAACAGGAATGCTCCACAAAGCCCGATCCAAAATGTCTTGGACACCATTTGGGTTTCCTGGGGACCTCTAAAACCAACCTCTATACCGATACCAACCTCAGCAGACTGTTTTTGTTTCAGAACATCCTTTGCCGAGCAATATGCCGAGCATTTGTAATCATACAATCCTTTCACATGTCTTCTCGACAAAGCTTGTCCCAGAAATTTCACACTTTCCCAAGGTGAGAAGTTTGCCAATGGCCTTCGCAGCTCTATCGGACGTGCCTCAGAGGCAACTGCTGCCTATGCCAAAGCCAATCGATTGCCCCCCCTTTTCTGAGACCGTGCGTCAAGCATTGGCCACGAGGAAATGATTGTGGCCACTTTCTGACATGGGCCTTAGGATCTAGATGATTTCATCAGTCTCTCTATACCATGACCCCCTAACAAGCAACCCTAAGAAGTGTCTATTGATAGCCGCTTAGAGGTTAAGGGGTGTCTCTTAACCACCCCTTGTGAGTCCTGGTTGCATACGGAACTTTGTCCCCAAGATCCCCAACCGAACCTGAACCTGCGCGACATCGATGTCTCATCCGGAGCCTGAGGTCTCTCTCGCGGAGCCTGACACCACCTTTGGATTTCCCGAAGTTCGTGTAGGTGGTCTGCCAGCGGCCAGCGACTGGCATGTTTGCAAGAGGTTGGTATTTGGGTGTTGAGATGTGTTGAGGTTCCAGCCAGGTTCTTTTTGGCAATGGCATTCCAAGGCAAACGGTGCAATTGACGAAGATCTGTGGAGCCACCTGGGAGTCCCAAATTGAGCAGAAATCATCAGAGGATCATGATCAAATGAAGAAACAATGGCCCACAACCCACAACGTTGCCAGTGCGTGACCGTCGCCATGCGCAAGCGGATCAGCGACGACAACATTAGGAGATGTCCAGGGTGTCGACTCTGAGTGTTGTTTCGAGGAGGAGTCGACAACAGTCGACTGTCAGACTAGGAGACATGGTGCGACCGTCGATTGTCGTAAATGAAAGAAAAAGTTAAGGAACATGTTGTATTATGTTGTATTATATATGAGCAACGGCTTTTATTTGCGGTAGTGAAGATTAGTCTAGGGCCTTTTCTAAAGCCCAATGTCAGATTTAGTTGGCGAAACGAGGTAGGAACACCCCGAGAACGAGATGGGCATCAAATGCGCCATTTGTTTGAAATGGTTTGGTTAATGACATGTGACATGTTTAGCTTGTGAAACGAGGTAGGAACACCTCTCGAGAACGAGATGGGTATCCACACCAAAACGAGATACAGGAATGGAGAACGAGATCACACACCAGAAACGATGCGGGATTGGAGAACGAGGTAAGGAAGGTCCATGTGATAGTTTAACGGAAAAAAGTTCCATCGCTCATATGTTGTACTTGTTACTTGTTAACAAATTTATTTGTTATTTTGGATTTGTTAAAGGTGGAACTCTGGCTGAGTGCCCGGAGCGCTCGTCTCAGGAGGTTAATCACTGATGGCAAGGCCATTGACGCTCGCGAGGCCGGGGCGGTGGTTGGGGCCGGGACCGTCATGCCAAAGGACGGCACAGAGGAAAGACACGGCTGTCATGGAACTTCGACATCCCCAGAGGGTCCCGGAACATGAGTAACATGGACGACCAACGACGTGAACTTACTGTTTTTGCAGACCCTTTTTTCAGGTTTACTCGCAGCTTGCATGAAGAAGTCGAGCACTTTTCTATTCGCTCCAGCCTCCCGGTTGGTAGAAGCGTTCTTTGATTGGTCGAACGGCCAAACGGTTTCCTCTCAACAGAGTCCGGAGATTCCCCTCATTTCCCCTATATTGCTTTTCGCAAGTGTCGAGTGACTTCCTACACCCCCATGACTTCAACTCTCGATGTGGAACAAGAGCACCGTGCCCATGGGAACTCTATTGCTCTGAGACCAATTCTGAAGCCGAACTGGCGGACCCGACCGACCGACGACGGAGGCTCAAAGGATCGGCCTCGTGGATTTCGTGGGCGACGTGGAGACGGCCGGGGGGGCACGGAGCAAAACGCGGCGAAGGTGAGGGAAGCCACGATTCGAATGAGCGCTACTTCTAAGTGATGTTCCTTCTTTATGTCTACTTTGGTGGCATTTCATGTTTCTGCTTGTAGTATTGTATGATTTTCAATATATGCTTTAAATTCACTGGGCGTGTCTGAGAAGATGCCTTTTGTATCGTGTTCGTACCAGCTTTGGGGTTGGCAGAAGCCTCCGGTTGCTTGATCAGGGTGATGCGATTGGGGAGTGATCCTCCAACCATTGGGATCCGGAGAAACCATGAGAAACCCGAAGCATGGCAGATGCGGTGGCAGAGGCCTTTTTGGGTTGGAAGACTTGTAGCATCTTGTAACACAGGGACTGCAGCATCAAACACGCGGAAGAACTGCAGCTGTCACAGGCTGTCACAAGTGTTGTACAAAACAGTGTTGCTTTGGCAAATTGAGAAAGCTTTGCATTAAGAAGAGAGCTGAAGCTTTTGGTGGACAGATTTATTCACACGTGTTGAGAGCACAGGAGTGTACCACTTACAAGATCAGACTGCAATCCCTCACTTCGGATCTCATACTGCAGTTCTTGTCGCCGCCCAAGGAACTCTCCCGGATAATCTTCAAGAATTGCAAGCCCAAAGTCCGGGGGGCCCGGGGTGTCACGGAGATGGCTGTCAAAGCAGAATCTGCTGGGTGGTTCCAGTGGCCCCCAAGTCAGGATAAGACAGACATCCCTAGCCGTGACGTATATAGGGGGTATCCGAATCAAAGACATGTGTTTGGGGGGTCCTGGATTGAGGCAACCGAGAAAACGTCGTGTTTGACGACTGGGACGAACGCGGGTTCAGGACGCGTGACGTTTGAATTTCAATGGGCTGTTTGAAGTGAACATGTCGTTTTGAAAACAACCACTGCGAAGTAGTGTGAAGAGTGAACAAGATGCTGCCGATGTAAGATGCAAGTAATTCAGGTTCTTGGGCAGCAATGTGGAGATATTAATATTGTTGGTGGATCTTCCCCACCAGCTGCTGAGAAGTCAAGTTTTCTACAGCTGAGGTAACCAATGTCATGTACCGCCCTGATTGCGAGAGAGCATGGGCGCAATAACCGCAGGGCCTTGAAGGCCTGCTGAGGAAGGGAGGACAGAGGAGAATGAAGGTGCTTGGACCCGGGATTGAACAAAGGTATACTCTGCTTCGAAGCCATTTACACTCCCTGGAACTAACATGGAAGTGGAAAGTCAACCTTTTAAGACCATTTTCCGAGCACATCCGAGCACCAAGCAGGTGGCTTTCCTCCATGTTACTTGTAGTTCCAAGGAGGGTATACATAATATGATACGATGATGTATGTTGTGTGTATGTATGTTGCGCGTCATGTCCAGCAAGTTCTTTTTCACGGAATTAAAGGTAAATACCTTTTGACATACGAGTAATTTTCGACAATTTTAAGTAACTTTAATACATTATAGATTAAGGTGACGTGGGACAGGTCTGTTGTCGCGGAATTCTACTTCTGAAGAGTTGCTTGAACGGGTTCAGCAGCTGGGAACCGACAGACCGTCCAAAAATAGACTGGGATGTCCTGCAAAACATTTGATTCAAGAGTTGCCTTGTAGTTGCATCCTCGTTCATGCATTTGAGGTGATCCACCGTAGGGTCGCGGGTCACGTTTTGAGGTTGGGGCAATGTGGCTCGCCCCATGCTCCGGTTCAAAAGAGAAGGTTGCCCCATGTTCCCAAGGGGGCAGGAGGGAAAGAGGCGGCAGCCTTCTGCCAGGCGAAAGAACCATCATCTTCCCAGTAGTGAAGCAGAGAAAGGCTGATGAGCATGCAAGACCGAACAAAAAAATTGTAGACAGCACTAGACCAGTGTATAGTGTTTTGCAGGTGCTCAGCAGGCCTCCGCATAGAAGAGCCATCAGTTAGTTTGACAAGTCCATCAGTGGCTAGGACCTAGGAGCCTGGTATGAACAAAGATTGCATTCACCACCTTGAAGATCCATAAGAACTTCACAAGAGCTTCATTTTACCACCAAAATATCCCTTTACCACCTTTGAGCATTTGGCAACATCATGACACACGTATGAGTGTGGAGCAACTGCCAAAGACCATCAAAGACCTCTGGTGACAGAGCAAGTTAATATCCATGAATCTTAACCTACATAACTGATTTCCGACACTGGTTCTGAGTCCCTGCATTTGAGTCAAGGATTCCAGAATCAAGCATCATTGAACCAAATTGAAGCTATTCTTCAACATACCCAGTGTCAAGAAAAGTGGCAACGTCAACCAACAGCGCCATGACAAAAAAGAGATACGCGTGTTGCACTGTCTTCGTTGTGTAATATATGTTGTCGTGTGATGATGTTGGAGCCCTTGTAGTCCCGCCGAATGTAAAAAAGACATCATGTTTGTGCCTACCCAGGAAAAGTGGATTATTCCCCAAACAGTTTACTGTTAGGGGTTCTCAATGCTTTAAAGAATGGTCGCCTTGGTGCTGGATGGTCTGGTCGGGTTCCCGGCCGGCTTGTCTCCCACTTCCTTTTATTTGTCTCCCAGTTCTTTTCATTTGTCTCCCAAGCTCGGTGCTTGTGGTCGGGTTCGCGGCTGGCTTGTCTCCCACTTCCTTTCATTTGTCTCCCACTTCTTTTCATTTGTCTCCCAGTTCTTTTCATTTGTCTCCCAGGCTGGGTGCTTGTGGTCGGGTTCCCGGCTGGCTTGTCTCCCACTTCCTTTCATTTGTCTCCCACTTCTTTTCATTTGTCTTCCAGTTCTTTTCATTTGTCTCCCAGGGTGGGTGCTTATGGTCGGGTTCCCAGCTGGCTTGTCTCCCACTTCCTTTCATTTGTCTCCCACTTCTTTTCATTTTGTCTCCCACTTCTTTTCATTTGTCTCCCAGTTCTTTTCATTTGTCTCCCAGGCTGGGTGCTTGTCCCAGGCTGGGTGCTTGTGGTCGGGTTCGTGGCTGGCTTGTCTCCCACTTCCTTTAATTTGTTTCCCACTTCTTTTCATTTGTCTCCCAGGCTGGGTGCTTGTCCGGCTGGCTTGTCTCCCACTTCCTTTCATTTGTCTCCCACTTCTTTTCATTTGTCTCCCAGTTCTTTTCATGTGTCTCCCAGGCTGGGTGCTTGTGGTCGGGTTCCCGGCTGGCTTGTCTCCCACTTCCTTTCATATGTCTCCCACTTCTTTTCATTTGTTTTCATTTGTCTCCCAGGCTGGGTGCTTGTGGTCGGGTTCCCGGTCTTGTCGTTCTTTTAATTTGTCTCCCAGGCTGGGTGCTTGTGGTCGGGTTTCCGGCTGGCTTGTCTCCCACTTCCTGTCATTTGTCTCCCACTTCTTTTCATTTGTCTGCCAGGGTGGGTGCTTGTGGTGCTGGCTTGTCTCCCACTTCCTGTCATTTGTCTCCCACTTCTTTTCATTTGTCCGGCTGGGTCTTGTGGTCGGGTTTGCGGCTGGCTTGGTGTTTTCATTTGTCTCCCACTTCTTTCATTTGTCTCCCAGTTCTTTTCATTTGTCTCCCAGTTCTTTTCATTTTTGGTCTCCCAGCCTGGGTGCTTGTGGTCGGGTTCCCGGCTGGCTTGTCTCGCACTTCCTTTCATTTGTCTCCTACTTCTTTTCACTTGTCTCCTTTCCTTTCATTTGTCTCCCAGGCTCGGTGCTTGTGGTCGGGTTCCCGGCCGGCTTGTCTCCCACTTCCTTTCATATGTCTCCCACTTCTTTTCATTTGTTTCCCACTTCCTTTCATTTGTCTCCCACTTCTTTTCATTTGTCTCCCACTTCTTATCATTTGTCTCCCAGGCTGGGTGCTTGTGGTCGGGTTTCCGGCTGGCTTGTCTCCCACTTCCTTTCATATGTCCCCCACTTCTTTTCATTTGTCTCCCTGGGTGCTTGTGGTCGGGTTTGCGGCTGGCTTGTCTCCCACGTGCTTTCATTTGTCTCCCACTTCTTTCATTTGTCTCCCAGTTCTTTTCATTTGTCTCCCACTTCTTTTCATTCCCCAAACAGTTTACTGTTAGGGGTTCTCAATGCTTTAAAGAATGGTCGCCTTGGTGCTGGATGGTCTGGTCGGGTTCCCAGCCCGGCTTGTCTCCCATTTCCTTTGTCTCCCAGTTCTTTTCAGTCGGGGTTCCCGGCTGGCTTGTCTCCCACTTCCTTTCATTTGCCTCCCAATTCTTTTCATTTGTCTCCCAGGCCACTTCCTTTCATTTGTCTCCCACTTCTTTTCATTGTCTCCCAGGCTGGGTGCTTGTGGTCGGGTTCCGGGCCGGCTTGTCTCCCACTTCCTTTCATTTGTCACCCACTTCTTTTCATTTGTCTCCCAGGCTGGGTGCTGGTGGTCGGGTTCCCGGCTGGCTTGTCTCCCACTTGCTTTCATTTGTCTCCCGTCTCCCGGTTCTTTTCATTTATCTCCCAGAAATGCTTCATTTGTCTCCCAGGTCCGTCACTGCTGGTGCCATGTAGCATTTCTATTCATTTGTCTTTGTCACTGCTAATTTCCGCCCTTTTCCGCTGGCCATGCAGCATTTCTATTCATTTGTCCCCCAGGCTTGTCACTGGTGGTGTGCGCCCTTTTCCGCTGTTTCTTTTCATTTGTCTACCAGGTCTGTCACTGTTGGTGTCCGCCCTTTTCCGTTGGCCATGTAGCATTTCTATTCATTTGTCTCCCAGGTCTGTCACTGCCAGTGTTTCGTCTCCCAGGTCTGTCACTGCTGGTGTCCGCCCTTTTCGTCGGCCACGCAGCATTTCTATTCATTAGTCTCCCAGGTCTGTCACTGTTGGTATCCGCCCTTTTCCGCTGGGCATGCAGCATTTCTATTAATTTGTTTCCCGGGTCTGTCACTGGTGCTGCCGCCCTTTTCCGCTGGCCATGTAGCATTTCTATTCATTTGTCTCCCATGTGATTTCTTTCTTTTTGTCTTTCAGGTTTGGTGCCTGCACTGCTGTTTTCTGCCCTGTCCGCTGGAACAGGTTCGCCTGTGAAAGGTTCTTGCTCCTTTGCAAGGGGTGCGTGACTGTCTCCGGGATTGCATTCCTGCCACACTGTGTAACTCTCTCAGCTTTGTTTTCCTTCTCGGGCAACCGTTGGATGAATGACCGGATTGGATTTCGGCGGCGTGGCAGCGATCTCTCTATTCAGTTGGGGCGGAGGGCATATGTCAGGCACCAAAAATCAATTTCATGTCACATCCTTCGCTCCTCATGCTTTTGTTTCTTGTCCTCACGTGGTCAGCTCCCCGCTGACTGAGCAGCATGACCAGCATCATGTTCGCGCTTGAAGAATAATTCCCCAAAAGGTTTACTGTTAGGGCTTCTCACTTCTTTCTTAAGATGTGTCCCCCCGCTCTGTACTGCTGTGTCCGTCTCTGCCTTGCAATCCTTTACATTTATCTCCCAGCTCTGTTCGATTTTGAAAAACACAAACTGTTTGGGGTCTACGGTGGTGTAATTCACCTGCCCAGCCTTTTTTGGAGGGATTGTGCACACCCCACTCAATATCAACAGATGGAATTAACGATTAAAAAAAGACACACCCCTTCTGTTCCAGGGATCTGCAGCATCAGGAGCCATGGACAGCACCTGAAGTCAAGATAACCAGTATATTAAGTTGGATGAAGTACGTTCACCATCCGAGGCTACTAGGTACCGTTCACTTGGGTCATTTTTTTCCAGCGGTACCCACGGCCCCCCACATGTGCCAGTGCAAGACCATGACACACCAAGATGGCCTCTGAAACAAGGACCGTGGTTCCATAAGGGTCAACTGATGGCTCCCATGCGTGTGGACTGTTGATTTGGAGACGGCCATATCGTCCCACCTGAAGACAGAGCACCCACTGAGCGCGACCAATCCATTGGGTGGATCAAGGAAGCATCAGTCTTTTGATCAAGGATTTCGATCACGACTGGACCTTTTTTTTCAGCACTCTGAGGGTGATCGGCAGCTGAAGGTGTGAAAACGAGCCCTGATGACCCTGATTTCCTGACTGACTGCGAAGCTTTCCCAAGGGCGGCAAACAAAGATGACGATGATCCATGATAACTTCTAGAGTGCATTCTGATCTAATGTCACACACCGGGTCAACACCTAGATTGAAGCCAACATCATACCAATTATAATTATTGTTGCACTGTCCTTTGCTGTCCTTTGTATGTCCACGCAATTTGTGTTCCCTTTAAAAGTGTTTTTTTTATTTTTGTTGACTATACTTACTAGACTTATAGACACAATTACAGACATATATGAGATGTAGTTTCAGAACATGAATCCCACCCAGCGACTCGGGCGTCCACTCACCTACTCGTCCTCGACCGGGCGCCATGGCGACGCGCTGGGTCTTGCGATGTTGGGTCCGAAGCGCAGGTGACGGGTGGGGTCCGCATCTTTGAGCGGTTCTTGCTTGTTGCGATCCAAATCTCAGATCTTGGGGTCGTGTGGGAAGAGAGATGAAGAGAGTATAGAAATCTGTGAAAAGCAAGCGTGAGTCAGTAGCATCAATAATCATCAATACAGATTATGCATTCTTCCCAACACTGAGGTCCTTCAGCTGTTCTATGGCCGTCCTCGGGCCGAGCTCAACCTGAACATGAACGCTTTCTGCCAACAGACACCGTGTCCCGCCTCAGAAGAACGGGAAAATGATGAAACAAGTCTGTCCATATGAGTCAGTGGTGTTGTTGTTGGTGCAGTTGTAGTAGTAGTAGTAGTAGTAGTAGTAGTAGTAGGAGTAGGAGTAGGAGTAGTAGTAGGAGTAGGAGTAGGAGTAGGAGTAGGAGTAGGAGTAGTGGCAGCAGTAGCAGCAGTAGTTGTAGTTGTTGTTGTTGTTGCTGTTGTTATTGATGGTGTATACCGGCGGAAGCCAAACTCCAAAGAGGAGAAGTCGCGGAAGAGGTCTAGAGCTGAAGCTTGATGAGCCGATAGCACTGGCCCATGGGTCGAAGTCAGTATATAACCTGCAGGAGCTAAGTGCTTACTGACAAGAACCAGGTCACTGTACAGTACAAGTGTTGAATCCTGATCCATCTGTCTAAGTCTAACCATTGAACACTGCTTTCGGCAACTTATTGGGCTTGTATCGCTAGTCAGACACTTTTAGTGTTGTCATTTTTTGGTCATGTTTAGTCATACTGACGGCAACAGATCAAAACAACAAACTGTTGATCATTGATTCATTGGTATCGACATTGCCGACCATCTCTTGACGGTGCAACTGTCATGGCTGGGGTGAGTGAATCCATGGAGTGATTTTAAGGGGTCTTTCTCTGGCCAATCCGATAATCTCCTGCGTTTGTTGCCTGCGGTTCTTTGAAAGTTCGGCTAGTCATGTCCTGCCAGGTTGCCACTCATTTGCCCCTCCAGCGGCCCGCAATATTGTACTGGCCTTAGTGGTTTGTCCCAGTATGTCCCAGTTGTCCCGGTTTGAAGCAACCCGCACCCTGATCTCGATGGTCTCCGTTTCGACAGTTCGAAGGTTTTGGACGAAAGGACATGAGGATCCAAAAGGACCAGGGGGAATGAACACCTTTAGATGGCCCAGTGTTGACCTTCAGAAGGTCTCATAGAATCGCATTTATATATTACAGTATATTATCATAGAATCATAGAAGTAATTTCTTATGATTGCTGTATTGTTTAAGTAAAATCACAGACATCATATATCATAGAAGTGATAATTGGAGAATCATAGAAGGTCATGTATTTTGCTCGTTGGACCCACTCCACCGAATCCTGGTGAATCGAGCGCCGCACTCGCCTGCGGCGTAAGCGTTGCTCAGCTGCAGCTGGTGCCTGTGCGCAAAATCCTGACAGCTGCTGCAAGCACCTAGCCCATGACTGGCGTTTCAAGGAGGGGGGTCTATGAGTTCTGGAAGTTGAGAGTTCTGAGTCATGTGTTTTTTAATCAAAATTCTCAGAATATAGGTTCCTTCTACGGAAGGTCTTCATATTGAGTGGACTGGTAAGTCATCTCGTTCCTTCCCATAGAGTATGCGTTGTTTCAAAGAGGTCCCAATACCGAACCTTGGCCCTGCGAACGAGCCAGTGCAATGGCCTTGAGGGAGCCAGTGAAAAGGGTGTCGCCGTGTTGGGTTGCATCGAGAACAGCAACTGCAAGATGGAAGTGATTCCAAGCAAGACCTACTCACGTCGTGGGCTGAGGATTCCATTTATTGAGTCACATGTCTTTTTTTTTTTGTGTGATTATATAATATATATATTATATATATATACACATTGTTTTTCATTGTTTTTCATGATAATTCAATCCTGGACAATTGCCTTTCAAGTACACTCCAAGCGATGATAGAATCTGCTCTTAAGAATGGTCGATCTGGGGGCATGTGTCGAATTGCTGTTGGTAGCTTGAACTAGTTTTTTGGATGTTCTTGGCAACAACCAGTAGTCTTAAACAGTCAAGCTTATAGAGTCAGGGTTCCATTATGAAAACTGATTAAATGTGTCTACATGATGAATTCATGACAAGTAATGACAAGACCATGCAAAAGCGGGCATGCAGACACCGATATTCTCCCGATATAGGCATAGGAGTGTTGGAATATGTTGGAATTCTTTGTTGCCAAGCCCAGTTGGGCAGGTTCCGTGCCAGAGTTTCCATTGGCGGGATAGAGATGAGGAGAGGAAGTCGCCTTCATCCAGTCTTCAGATGGGTGGATCCAGCTGTATCGCCACTTTGAACGAGGCAGTCCAGCTGTATCGCATTTGGCACCATGCCATTACCAATGATCGGTGGATGTAGGCGCGGGCGGATTGGATTTCTGCATATAGTATTTGTGCGTTGAAGAGGTCTTTGGGTATCATGCTGCTAAGAGCTCGAAGATCACAGCAGGCATGTTCATGCTGCGATTTTCGGATGTGGAGCCTTTTGGGCCAATACCCGCTCATGCTCATGCCAGTGTCAGCAGAGAGTGGACCCAAATCCATGAATCAAGTTTGAAGGCGAGATGTGGTGCACTTGTGGGTACCAGAGTCACTGTTGACGGAAGAAATCCTACACCTCCAACCTTCATGGAGTTTTGGAAGTGGCTGAAAATGGTTACAGCTAGAATCTAGAAACTGGCTGGTCAAACCGGCTGAAACTTGGCGGAGAGTTGGCCAAACCGGCGGGCTAGCTCGGCCAACTGGAGGTTTAGCTGAGACTGTTGCGCATTTGACATGATTTGTGCCATGAGTAAGGAACAAGAAGCTACGAACGGGGCTCTTGGCCTTACTACTAGGAGCGATCGGACACTACTAGGAGGGGCTGGCATCGCTACGAACGGAGCATTCTTACTAGTAACATCGCTACCAATCCTCCGGCCCCGGCATCCACCAGGCCCGACCGGGGCCCGACCCGCTGTGCGGACATGACCACCCCCTTCGGGGGGATGGGGGTCCGGAGGCCCATGAGGTTCGGCGAAGCGCTTCCGGTGGCGTCAGACTGAGGAGGTTTGGAGAGGTTTGGCTCATGCTTCCCAAGTTGGGTGTGTATTCCCTTCTTTTGGGGGGGGGAGATCCCCTGGCCTGAGACTGGTCTAGGATCTGCACGGGACGAACACGGTCGGAACCCCCTGTTTGGTATTCGGAATTCATGGTCTTGCCATGCCGGCCATGCTATCAACTTCCATGACAGGGCGTTGGAACTGCTTTAAAAGTTATCGATGTTCCAACTGACAGTAGAGATAAGGACCATGATAGACCTAGGTTGTAGAGAGTATCTACACCTAACCAGGTCATCTTGCAAAAAAGCCAGCCTCAAGTGTGCCCGACTTAAATGCAAAGTCCTAGCTGGGAGTAAGTATCCCTTGATGCTGCGATCATGGTGGGGTTTCGTGGGGCTTCAGTGTGGATTTGCCTGCTTGGAAGAGCATGTTGTCAAGTCAATCGCTCCTTTCAAACCGTTGAGTTGGGTGAATACCCACTTACCAGATGGTCACCACGACTGCAGGTGGTCCCCAGGCCAACCTCACGACCTGAATTCAAAGGAACCATCGTCAGGCCGCCGCTGCACGTCTTGGCTTCGCTCAGGGGGGCCAGCGCCAGCGCTGCGGACCCACACGCCCATGGGGCAAATACGGGACCCACTAGCGATCCAGTGCCACGAAGTGGGTCGAAACTGGATCAAATCGAAGGATGTGGTGGTCCAAGATGTGGGTGCACGGCTGCTTGCAGTGCTGGATGACTTGCATGAGATGAAGAACATGTTATTCTTTTGTGCTCTTGGGGGAAAAAGGGATAAATTAGGACATATTCATAAGCACGTTGATGTCCAGGCTTGGTGTGTGTTTGTGTGTTTTGTTCGGCGCTTCAAGAGGGACACAGAAGGACTCCCTCTTTGAGGCCAGATACTTATTTTAACATCCCTTCACCAGCCGCCCCTATGTATTCAACATTCAGCAATCGATCCGAACCAATTACTCCCCTACATGAGGAATGTTTGAAGTTGTCCCGGGAACATGATACATGTCCTCCAGAATGTTCTGCAGCTCTCTCGTTCATTTGCTTCAACACGTGCCGTGCTCCGTGGTGGTGTGCCGTGCTCCGTCGTCAGGATGATGTCTATCTCGAGCCGCAAGTCAGCGAGCATGCACCGCCGATGGGAATGGCTCCTGGGATTCGCTGCTTCAGTCAGGAGCGAGGGTCGAGTAGGTTTTTAAGATATATAGCAGGCAGATGTTAGGAAGTTAGGAAGTGTGTGAAGCCTTGTTTGAGTCAACTTTGGATCGATTCATGTCGTTTCTGTGGTGTATGTTTGGATTCATTGGTGTGGAACATGTGAAGCCAAGTTTAGACTGCTAAACTGGGCCAAAGAAGTGGGTTCGGCAAAGTCATTGATACCTTGGCATAGAATGGGATAGATAGACAGACAGATAGACGGATAGTCATGGATGGATGGATGGATGGATGGATATAGATCCTCATGTCGCTGATGGGGTCTTCCAAGCCGGGTGCATGGTCAGACATGGTGCATGTCGATGCAATTGAACATCTTGGCGTACCAATTTGGTCGCCGAAAGGGGGAAGGGGCAGAGTGTTCGATGATCTCAGGTTCCTGATGAGCTGCTTCACTATCCTTGGAAAGAGATGCCCATGTTGGCAGCGTCCGAAGGCCGAACATGCTGACTCAGTGAGCCTTCTGACTCTGCAGAACTGCGACAGGGGGCCCCGAGCAGTGCAGTAAAGCCCCGAGCAGTTGGGTATGTGGAACTGACCGGGGAAAGTTTGAGCAGTTGGGTTATGTCATGTGGATGAGAGGCTTTTTCTAAGTGAACCACCGGTGGATGGGTGGAGGAACGGTTACTGACCGGAGTATTGGATCCAAACCCCCGTTTGGACTTGGACCCAAACCTACAGACATGCCGGGAAGTCATTCTTGATCGACCAGGCCAGCAGAAGGCGCCAATCAAGCAGCTTGTTTGGAAGGAGGCTGAAGAAAACTCACGCTTTGGATTGAGGCAGGCGCAAGAAGGAAAGCAGGATGTGGTCATGGCACACAGTCCGTTGTCTTCACAGAGGGATTTGTTCGATGTCTATTTCATGACGGACCACAATACTTCTCAAGTGGTGTCTTCAAGATTCAACAGCTAGGAAAGCATTAAGGGCGCCACTAGGGGCTCCTGGCCTTACTACTAGGAGCATTCTTGCTACTAGTAACATCTAGTAACAAAGGGCATCGCTACGAACGGAGCGTTCGGACGCTACGAACGGGGAGGGCGCGAACGTAGGTTGGAGGCCATCGTCTCATTCATTCTCTTCACTGCTCCCAAGCTCGACCGAGACCCCAAGCTCGGCACACGGAACCGGCTCGGCTTCAGGCTGGGAATCGTTTGGATCTCACCAGAACATCACTACCCAAGGCATAAGTATGAGCGCCTTGCAGCGGCATGGAGAAGAAACAGCACAGTTTTTTTTTTTTTTTTTTTTTTTTTTTTTTTTCGGACGGTTCGGTCTTTTGTGCGCTCCACTTTTTCTCGAAAAGCACTGGCCGATATATACTCGTAGAAGCTAAAGCGGATCGATGTTTCCAATAGGTTGAATGGGGATTCATGCGAGATGCCTATTTGCGGATATTTGCGGGTTATTTTTGCACCTCTTCGTCCGCATCAAAGTTTCAACGTCTACTACATCTACTACTCAGAATGTACTTTCCCGCCACGAGCTCTAGTTCGACCATCCAATTTGGTTGATGGTCAAAACACAGAGCCAAACTACACAACTCATACCTATAAGATCCTATAGGCGGTAGTCATACCACCAAACACGTGCTGCGGCAGAGCTCCGAGTCCGGAGCTCTGCATGCGGCGGGTCACTTTCGCAGCTTGAGATGGACCCCCAACCAACCAACCAACCAGTAATGCCGGACCCCAATCCCAGAGTGGAGGTTTTGGGGAATTGCAGGACAAAAATGGACAAATATATATATATATATACCAATATTTGCGCGCCTTCACGCGATATTGCAATGATTGCTCTTCTACCCCCTCCTAATTCAAAAAAAGGCCTGTATCGGAACCCCAATCGGTTGAAGCAATTGGCAACATTCGCATGAAGGGTTGATAGTTCAGACATCTTCAGATCAGTTTGGTCGATCCTTGTAGATTGCATATTTCGACTTTTTCAGTCCTTCCATTCCACTCGACCAAACTCAACCAGGGCAGCATGGTCCACCATTCTTGGTGGTCAATTGTTTGGCGGTGTAGGTACATGACAGGGGTTCGAAATCCCAACCCATTTCTGTTTGCTTGGCTTGGCCCTACGACACTATACAGCACTCCCAAATGCAACAAGCAGGACTTTTAGTTTCACCCAAGTCATTCAATTTCAAAACCAAGAAATTCTGCCGAAGCGGAAATTGATGTTGATTTTGAATTCTCATGATTTCTCACTGTGTTGAATATCGGCATCGTCTTCATGATGCATTAATTTTTATATACAAACAGTACTGTTGATCAGGTTTCGCTACCAAGGCCCAGGCAATCAATGGTTTTGATGGCGCAGTAATGCGCAGTCTAAAACAATGTAAACTATATTGCTTGCAGAATCTTGCAGAACATGTTTTTGGACTGTGTGTTTTGGTCTGCCTTTGATGGCCTGCGGTGAGTTCCTGCTTTTTTCATTGGGTGGCTTTGCCTCGACAGTATGGTGCAAAGATAGGTCAATTAAGTGGGTTCCTGGGTGCCACAGCATAGCGGCACCCGGTGCACGTGGGACGCCCGGAAACTCCAGGTCTTCTACCAGATGACCGGAACCTTGCAGCTCTTCCAGGATGACCAAGATTTGGCCTTACCTGCCGGAACTACCCACGTCCATTTGCCCCAAGTTTGGCTTGGCCATCAAAATCCGGCGGAACCTACACTCTCCTTTTGGGTCGAGCGAGTGCTGGAGGTTGAAGAAGTACCACGGGTCATCAAGGACTTGTATGAAATGTCCTTTGATGCAGTCACTTTGGCATTGAAGACACCCGGAATTTTGCAACCAACAGGTTTTGAACATGTTTTGCAAGCTTTTGACATGTGTTGTCTTTGCTAGTACTTAAAGAACAAGTTTTGACCCTTCATCTTCCAATCTACGAATCCTGGACTCCGCACTGGTGCGGACAAAAGGGGAAATGGTTGTTAAAGGATGCCCACCGGAGAAAGATGGACACCATCATTTGTTATCTTTAAAGGTGAGGGTCTTCTGAAGTGGTACTGTTCTGACTTACCTTTTACGTCCTTCTACTTGATATTCTGAAGTTGCAGACGCAGATTATATATAATATATATATATAATATATAATTGTATATACATATATTTGTATCCCAAGAGACCCCACTGTTGCTCAATGTTTGTAGACCTTCGTTGTGAGGGCACAGCAGACATCAAAGGACATCCGCATTCCGTCAACAGTTTCCGCCAAACAGTTTTCTGTTGGGGTTCTCAATGCTTTTAGGCGTGTCCGCCTCAGTCTGGGCCAGTGTGTTTGCCTTCTGGCTACTCCTTAGTAGCAGTCCTATACATATGTCTCCCAGTCAGGCCTTGTGCGTTTGCCTTCTGGCAGCTGCTTAGAATTTGTATCCCAGTCTGGGCTGGTGTGTTTGCCTTCTGCCAACTCCTTAGTAGCAATTCTTGGCGTTTGTCACCCAGTCCGGGCCAAGCAATTCTATACATGTGTCTCCCAGTCTGGGCTACTGTGTCCGCCTTCTGATTTGTCTCCCAGTTTGGGCCAGTGTGTCGACTAGTCGCAATTCTTTACATTTGACTCCCAGTCTTGGCCAGTGTGTCAGTTTTCTGGGAACTCCTTGGTGGCAACTATACTGTACATTTGTCTTCCAGTTTGGGCTAGTCGGCCTTCTGGTTCCGTAGTAAGTAGCAATTCTTTACATTTGGCTCCCATTTTGCACTAGTGAACTAGTGTGTCCGCCTTCTGGTGTCCACCTCTGGCAACTCCTTCGTAGGAATTCTTTACATTTGTCTCCTGAGCTGCTGTCCGCCTTCTGATTTGTCTACCAGTCTGGGCTATTGTTCCGCCTGCTGACAACTTCTTAATAGCAATTCTAAAAAAATCAAAAGTTTGCCCCTCAATCTGGGCTAGCAATTCCTTAGTAGCAAGTCTCAGTGTGCGCTAGTGCGCCCGCCTTCTATTCTTGCCGGTATGTTAGCGGTATGTCTATTTTCTCCCACTCTGGGCTAGTGTGTCCACCCTCTGGCAGTTCCTTAGCAGCAGTTCTTTCTATCCAATTGATTGCGAATCTAGTGTGTCCGCCTGGCAACTCCTTTACAAAGTACATGCATGTGTCTCCCAGCTTGGGTGTCCACCTTCTGGCACCTCCTTATGCGGTAGTTCTTTACATATTTGATTCCCCGTTTGGGCTGCTGGCAACTCCTGTACATGTGTCGCCCAGCCAGGGCTACTGTCTCCACTTCCGGCATCTCCTTAATAACAACTCTTTACATTTGTCTCCCAGTCTGGGCTTCTGTGTACCAATTCTTTGCATTCGTCGTCTCCCAGTCTGGGCTACTGTGCCCGCCTTTTTGTAGCAGCTCCAGAGACAATTCATTACATTTGTCTCCCAGTCTGAGCTGATGTCCACCTTCCCGCAACTCTTTAGTAGCGACTGCTGGTAACTTTGCCGCTCTAAACCTTTGCTGCACAATCTGGGCTAGTGTGTCCGCCTCTGGCAACTCCTTTTAAGCTGTTCTTTGGGCAGTGTGCCCGCCTGGCAAGTGCGTAGTAGCGAACTTGACATGTTTCCAGTGTCCGCCTCATGGCAGATACTCAATAGCAGTTCTTTGTACTGTATTTGTCTTCCAGTGTGGGCTACTGCGTCCGCCTTCCAAAGACAATGCCTTCCAACGGTCATTGTTCGAGCTGCAGAGTGGCGGTCAACTGTTTGGGGTCAGTCGTGTGTTTTTCCTTCCCTCGGATGAACACTTTCCCAAGGGGCTCCCCAAAGGGCAAGATGCCTGAAATGAAATTTACCAAATATTTCAACAAACTCGGTTTATATACCGCGCGTAGTTGACTCCTCCCTTTAAAATCTGTAAAAACTTCATAGCACAACAAAAATTCCGCGCTTTGCTCGATTCTGGTGCCCTGGGCTGTTGCAGGCAGGCCATGCATCAGTGGCTCCTTTCAGAGGATTCCGAAGCCCAGAACTTTGGGAAAGCCTTGCTGCTACAGCTGAAGCCTCGCAGTCAGCTGCTGGAGCCTGAGCCGGGTTGGAGGCCGCCAGATGCGCAGGCCGCACCTGGCGGATTTCATCGTGGGGAGTGGATGGCATGGCGGTGAAGACACAGAAATTGATCTCCCCCAATATGGAGCCGACATATTGCCGACATATAAATTAAGGAATGCCTTGCGTTGTTGTGTTTTTTCTCACTTGATCCTATCAAACGAGTCATAGTTGGGTTCTGTTGCAAACAAGACTCCAGTGGAGCAAGGTTTGAGTGTGGCACTGGTGTGTAACAAGCCGATGTTGTTTATGTTTGGATATTTCGCAGGTGTGCCATTGGGGCAACAGTATGCAATTAGTTCACTTGCCCTTCAGATTAGGATCATGTGCCGCTGAGCCCTTTGTAATTAGCTACTATACTCGCTGGAAGTTCCCACCCACAACGGGGGAAACCGGAGACGTCACAGTCGTCACAGGTGACCCCACCGCCGGCGGGCAGCGTTTCGGAGGGCTTCGATAGCTGCAATTGGTACCTGACGACGTTGGATGACCCTGAGCACCCCAACCTGAAATACATGCGTGAATGCGTCTTCGTCAAGACGGAAACCTGCATGTTTGGCCTCTTCTATGTGCCGGGCAACCTTTGGTATAAAGCCCATTCGCATGCTCCCAAGGAGATTTATCATGTCATTGATGGCGAAGCTCTCTTGTTACTGGAGGGAGACGAAAACGGCCAGCTTTTTGGTCCCAACACCTTCCGGGTGCATCAACCCTTTCAGACACATGCCATGCAGACCTTTGATCGACCGGCCCTCATTCTGTGGGTTTGGTCGGGGAATTTGGACTGGCGCCACGTCGACTACCAAGTCCTCCCGGGCCTTTTGGAAGAACTCCGAATCTCCAAGGAAACGGGCCTTTAAAGGTCCAGACGAGATCGCCACACGAGGAACGCGCCATCCTTTTGGTTTTAGCCCACTTGTCATTCACCCATTATCAGTCATATGTCATACGGCATACGAGTGACGTATGTCGGAAACGCAAAAAGTCCCTCCGATGTTTGTCTCACGCGGCGACGTGTTTGTCTCACTCGGACTGTCCAAAGGTCGGGCAGAATGGGCTGCGATCCGGTGAAGAACCGGGTTCCTTTTCAGCCTCGACGTCGCCTCGATCGGCCTTGGCTACGTCGGGCGACGGCGAGTAAATGGTCTGCCGGATCCGACCTTTGGGGCAGAAAAATCGATGGAGAGAGGTGGAGTGGCGGACGTGGAGAAGGGTTTGAAGGAGCAACGATGAAGTGCAAGGCTGAACTGGCTGGTTTGGGGCGGTTTTTCCAAGCCGGAAACCTGTGCCGGGTCAGTGTGAATGCTCAACCAGCTGGCCTAGCTCCTGTCACGTTCTTGTTTTTTTCTTGTCACGTTTTCAGTGAGGTGTGCCAATGCGCTCAAGGCATTTGCGCCAGCAATGGGGTTTGCATGGACAACAGCTTTTTGGGTCTTGGAGGACGGAGTCGACGTCCGCAAACCGGACGGAGTCGAGGGACGGGTTGCTTGGGTTCGCACAGATCGCGGGGTTGCGCAATTCGCGCGGTTTTCAGCGCTGAAGAGTGAGGTCGTGATACGGAGGTACATGATAATCGTGATTTTGATTTACTGTGATGTTTTTTTGATGATGGGAAGTACTAAGTCACTAATTAGTATAGTTCTGAAAAATATTTCATGTATTTGTCATGTGGTACTGAGGACCGTCCACTTTGAAGCCAAACTTTTCTACTGTACATGTTTCAGCCCAAGTCTGCTTGATGTCGGCAGGACTCATGGGGGCAAACAAGAACTTCGATGAGTCTCAACAGCTACAAGCTCCACCACCTGGAGGCGGTCGAAAAACGGCGGCGATGGCGACTCCGGACCAAATGGTTTGGGTCTTAAGCATATTTGGTTTTGCGTATTTTTGCATCTTCACCCTCCAGCAGTTTGAATGCAGACGTCGGTAAACTGGAGGCGACTCAAGATTCCTGGGTGCCCTAGTCCCTAGCCCTAGTGGTTTTGGCTCTCCATTTCTTTGAGAACAGTGATGTCTTTGGGCTTTCAACAGCTTTCGGTCGTATTCAAAGGACCGAATGAAGGCGCTGACACCAGCTTTTGCAAGTGCATGTTCAACAGATGCTGTTACGGTCATGCGCAGTGGCCAACCTGTATGTGGACAATGAAAGGGCAAAGGCTCGTAACTTGGCCCAGCAGTTCATACATGATCCATCATGATCCTTTTTTCAGAAGCAGTGCTTTTGATCTGTTTTGAGCAAGCTTTGTTGCTAGAAACTCTTGGAAAGAAGATGAAAGAAGATTGATTGAGTTTCTTCCTGTGAGTTTAACTCTCCAATTTGGACATATACGACACAAACACAATCTCAGAGAGGAATTGATCGTGGGACCACCAAGAACTGGTCCTGGATCTCCCTCAAATTTGGTATTGCAACGAGGGACGAGCTAACAATTGAAGGTTTTAATATGATGGTTACGTATGGTTTAATCATTTCAAATCATGTTCTTAGAACACGTTCTTGTTGAGAAAAGAAACCTTCCGCAAAAACGTCGCTGTTCCACGGCGTTGGTGGTTTCGACGCGTTCGACTGGCAGGGTATCAACCGGCGATGTATCCGAGCTCCGGAACGCCCATGCCGATGCAGATGCCTTTCTTTGGGCGCCTTTACCAGGCAGAGATGGTGGTGCCGTCGAAAACCGGTGCTGGTGGTCTTGGTAGAAGTTTGAAAGGATGAGTGGATGACACTGTGTAAGAAGCCCACGCCCGGGTCGGTGGTTCAGGGATTTCACGGCAAACTGAGAATCCATTTTTCCGGAGTCCAACGGAGGAGAATTTTTAGATCAGAACTAGGCAGGCCAGGAAGATTTGAGGTGGAACTCTGATTCTGATAATGCAATATTGAGTCAAAAGGAGATCCAGGAAAAATAGGTTGGAGGCCATTGCAAAATGACTCTGTCTGAAGATGTCTTTTTCGGAGCCAGGCGTCAGAGCATGTGGTGCCACCCGAGGACCCGGAACCGGATGATCGGTCGGGTCGGTGTCCGGTGGGAAAGAGGAAACATGACAGAACTTGGACCATTAAAGGAAAACACAGGAAAACGGTCATCTCACTAGTGCTGTTTGCAAGGTTTGTCTTTTTGTGATCATCAAAGATCCACACAAAAGTTTTGAATGCACCATTCCACAGGAAGACTTCCATGCTGAACTGCCTTTCTCCATCGATGTACCTGCTGGCATACACTTGTGACAGTATTTGTGAGCTATGAACATTGAACAAGTCGACAACATTGACCGGAACCCGCGATGTGAAACTGGCTGTTTCACATGCTACACGTGCCTTTCGGGTCTTCCTTCCGGCCATCGATGGAGGACCATTCACCGGTCCTGCTAGGCGACGGATTGTTTGAGCGGGGCAGAACTCCGCATCGGCTTTGGATTGCTTGGGTTTGCAATCATGTTGCACTAGTACTATCTGGGTTTGACCTGGTTTGACAAATCTTTCTTTTGTGTTTGAAATGATGGAATGACCCTGATTTGGAAACAGATTCAGATGGATCAGATGGGTGGCACAGAACAATCAGCGGGTTCAAATCATGTTTACTTGGCCGACTCGGGTGTTCAGGGGATACATTATGATACATATATTGACACATTATGATACATGATATGTGTTGAGGCATCCCCAAATCTCAAAACTACAGCAACTTCAGGATGGAATCGTGAGGGACTTGAATCCCAGGGCCACAGGGTGTTCTTTTCAGTATTAGCATTGGTCAAATCAGGACTATTGACCATCGAGTCAGATTCATGCTCGAACGCAGCCATTTTCAGAGTTTGAGTGGTCACATGGGGGTACTAGTACCAGCGGAATCCAGGCGTTTGATTGGAGCTCCACTCCTCCTGAATCCTGAGCAAAGATTTAGTTCTATGATGTTCTATGCTGTTTACATTTTAAACATATCGCTGCAACCTTGATGGCCTACTTGTCTGGTAGAGACCTGATGTTGATCATGTGCTAGTTGCATTCCAGCTGCCCCATCCATAGGTGTCCCTGCTTTTTCTGGTGTTTGTTTCTTTTTTCTTGATCGGATCATGTTGGCTCAGCGTATCTCAGCTATATTTGATCGGGACAGATGGTGATTTTGCGGGGATTCTCCAGATCTCGAGAAGGAAGCAGTGCTATTTGGGCATTTGAGGTCTCCTCCATTAGTCGAGGCCATTGTTCACTTCCATGACTTCCATGACTTTGATTTGTATTTTTTGGTAAGTGTTGGGGTTTGGAGCAATCCACGATGCGGATGGTTTCCTGCTTCCACGCCGCCTTCGTTTTTTCAATCCCCACGAGGCCTTGGGTCCTTCGCGTGCGCATTCCTCGCACTCGTGGGTTTGATGACCCGGCGGTGTGGGTTTCGCCAGGCGAGGAACTTCGATGTCGTGAGATCCAAACCGTTTTCTTTTTTTGGGGATCGTGAGGGTCAAGAGCTGTTTGTGTTGGTGCATGGGTCACATCTTATACATACACATACCACCATCCGGCCACTGGGTCACCTGGCTGGACTACCCTCCGCTACTATCCGGGATCGAACACGACAGGACACCCAGACAGGATGGTCCATGGGTATATATAGTTCGAGAACGTTCTTTGGTCCAGCTCTTCGTGACGATTCCAACCAGCTCTTGGAGCACTCACCGACCACACAAAGCCACGGCTGTGAGGCTTCACACCACTATCGCGTTTTGAGCTCAGAAGCTGTCGATGAGGAGAACTCGGACTCTGGAGACCGGGAACCACACGTCCACTTTTGGCATGCGGCGACCACCGACCGGCGACAGAAAATAAGAAATGAAACGCCACCAGATTGATGAAAGCTACCAAGGTTGATAATTACTTCCTTGTGGCATTCTCAAGCACACCAGAATCTAGATGCTAAACATGAGGATTCCATGAAATCGACGGGGTCGGTCATGGTCGGTCGCTGGATTTCCCTCAAATCTTTTTGCGGAATCCTCTTCCCTGCGCGACCACAGTTCACGCATGATCACGCCTCAGAAACTTCCATGTGTTTATCTACATGTGTTTACAGTGCTCAACGGGCGGTTGTTTTACCTCCTTTTCTTGAAACATCGTATTCACATTTATTCACAGTCTTGTTCAGATGTGCTTTACGGGTCGTCGTCTCCTCCACATTCACAGGACGTGGCCCTGTCAGATTCGTAGCCGCGTAGTCCAGCAAAAGCCTGGCTGTGGAGGCAGGGCCTTCCGAAAAGGACACATTGCTCACCACGTGTGTTGGATTGTTCACCTGGGATTGCTCAAGCGATTTTTCGAGCTTTCCCAATGTGGGGATAGACTGGGATTTGCATAGAGGCAAACACTTACTTATTACTCTAATACTTACCATACTTTTTGTCAATGTCATTCTCTCTCTCTCTCTCTACTAGTGGGTCCTTTGAGCGAATCCATGTGTACCTCAAGGAGTTGGAAGATTTTGGATTTGCGAAGGACGAGACATTTGGATTCTTGTGGATTCACTCCATGTTCACGAGGCAATGATCTTTTTGATATATACAGTATACAGGTGATGCACAGTGTGTACATAATATACATATTACATCATATTACACTTTTTTGAACATATTATATTGGAGTATTTTGTAATGTCATGCATTCTCCGTCAGCGCGGACGTTGACTCAGCTTGGTCATTTGGCAGGGTTGGACGCCGTGTGAAGACAGTTGGGAGATGGGAGTCTAGACAAAGGAAGAACAACATCGCTACTAGTAACAAGAAGCTACTACTGTAGTAACAAGGAAAGCTCTTATTTGTTTCCTTACGCACATCTTCTTTGTCATCGCAGAGACGACCCCAGAGGTACGGCGGATGAAAGACTCTCCTTGCACCATTTGGGAGGCCAAATACATCATCCCCGCATTTCCCGAACACATACTAGTAGCTAGAAGCTATTGGGTTAGAGGCCATCGCTAGTTGCTTGGAGGCCATTACTAGTAGCTAGAAGCTGTGAGCAGCTATAGCAACGTGTTTTTTCATATGTTTGGTCCAAGACTTGTCATCTCGCTGGGAGGCCATTCCCAAGATGGGAACTGCCTGACATCCGTCGGCCGCTCTGCATGCAAAAGGAGCTGTGCTCCGTGCGTTCGGTCTTGAAGCTCCAGGGTGGCGGAACCACGTTTTGGATGTTTCGGAGAAAAGGAAGGCGACCAGAGGTTCTATAGGGTGCTTTAGCGGTGGGCGTGTGGGCGTTCTTAGTATTAGTTTACCCAGATAATGTGTGGGATAAGATGGGATAAGCGCTCCCAATATCCCTGATGTCTGATCCATTTCGCAAGACCTTGCTTCTTCCGAGCAATGGATGTCGTTCTCTGTTCATCTCTGTTCAGCACGTTGAAGCATGGATGCACTGTGATCACCAGTCTGAAATCGTGGATTGATCATGTCAGAGTTATGCAAGCCGTTCCAACAATGATACCCTAGGGCAGCAGTTGCAAAGGAATGTGTTTGTTTTCACTTTATATTGATACTCATAGTCTTAGTGATTCTTAGTGCGTTCATTTTCTGAATTTAGAGCAGTTCTTTGCAGATATCAAATTTGACTATTTCAAGGTAGTTGTTGTATATCGATGTATGATTCATCAACATAGAGTCAATCCATGCAAGGACTTGCATTTTGTATGCAAATCACAGCAAGTTGGGAATCCTTTACCAGTAGAGGGTTTAAGGGTCTGGTTTTTGACACACAGAAAGGATGTCTGGATGTGAAAGGATGAGACAGTGTGGAGATCCACCTCACCGCCTCACCGCTGCTTGTGTGCAAGCTCTTCTAGAGCACGGAGTCAAACAAAGACCTGCCAGGGGTAGAGTATATCAGATCATGCTGCACATGAAGCTTCAGCAAGGTGCAGGGCTTCTGCACTTTAGTGACGAGAACGCTTCATGAAGTGGATGGAGCGGAGTACCTCGACATGCCTGATCACACTCACGCCCAACATGCATGGAAATGAAGGGCGCAAGGCTACTATAGGGAAATTACAACACTGAAGTCACTGTATAGAAACAACACATGTTACATATCCTTGTTGTTTTCCTTGTCGAACTGATTTTGTCTTAGCAACCTCACTGATTAGTGAAACGCACCGCTGCGGTCTGGACCCGCTCGCCATGCCGGTGCCCCAAGATGTCTCGCTGACCGAGAAGGTGGAAGGTGTCGTCGGAGGCGTGGGGAGAAGACGAGTCCACCCGAGTCCGCCGGTGTGATGCTTTGTCCGTTGGCGGACGTAGGGAGAAACACAAGCTTGGATATACTCAAAAGTGAATGAAGCACTATCCCTATAAGTAGTGGTGGACTATGGTTTTGTTGGACTGTTCCTTGTAGAACCGTGTTGCTGTGTTGCTGTACCCCGGTGAGAAAGAGTTGCCTGATGTTTCTGGGTGATGCTTTCGGCTGGGAAACCCGCTTCGATGGTTCAGGGGTCATCGGTTTTCACAGCCTCCTTCGATAGCAGATCCCTGCAGCGAACTCGGAGTGAGAGATCGAAATCCCGGAATTGTGGGTCCCATTCCATCAGAATGAAATGAAATAGACGCACCTTGGGAGATTCTGAAATAGAGTACTACTTGGGAGCTGATCTAAAGGTGCGTCTAAGGGGGTCAAAAAGAACACGACCTGTCAAATGCTGTCCAAACCATCCGTGAAAGATCCGCGAAGAGGGTCCCGAGTCGCGAACGTATTTCTTTTTTTTGCGTATAGATGATGACGAACTGCCAGCGCAATGCCCTGGGAGCTGCCATAGTGCCGCGCCACCTGAGTAACGTGGAAAAACAGAAGGCCTCAGTGGGTCTCCCCCTCGGGGGGGAGAGAAAACCAAGGCACGTTATGCAAACGTCAAGATCACACCTGGGTAAGGCATGAAAAAGAATTCAGGTCAACAAGGTCGTGTGACTGGGCATCAAGGAATCACACTGCATCTGCGATTCCACCTTCGTTTCCTGCATGTTCGTTAAAAAACAGGAAAGGCAACAAACAAACGGGGTTTCTAGAAAAGACCAGATCGACCTCCACACCACAAGCCGATGGCCTGTCATTGGCGAGGAGACATGCAACCCAGTTGTTTCATGTAGACACCAAGTCAACAATTAGTTATATCGATCGTCCCCATTCTTTTTTGCAGGCGGTTAACGCAGCTATGCGCTGTCACTTGTGGTCTAGGTGCCTCAGAGCACTCCCAGGCACAATGGTGCCACGTAGCAACCACCGACTTTTTGCACCATGGGCAGGTGAGGCTCGTGGAAGGGTTCGACTCAAGGCTGCAGGGCTCACCTGTGCTCCTGTCACCGCCAGGGAGTGAGAGTCCCGGTCCAAACGCAGCTCACGGAGCCATCGAGAGTTGCAAGTCCAGTGCACTCTTGACTATCCCGGCCTGCCCTAAGCCACTTGTGAAAACATGTGTGTCTCCACGACTCTCTCAAGTGCCTTACTGCTTGAAGATCAACGCGCCAACCAACATCGTCAGCACGAAGGGAGAGAGTTTCTTGTAGGCCACCATGTGCCCAAGTCCATGATGATTGCTCATGCCAGCCTAAATCAGCCATAGTTCGCCGCAACGCACCTTGCCAGCTTGTCTTTGTGACTGGCCAATCAGGGAGGTGAAAGTTCCTTCGTGACACCAGTCTGTGGATGATGTGCGTATAGATGATGACGAACTGCCAGCGCAATGCCCTGGGAGCTGCCATAGTGCCGCGCCACCTGAGTGACGCAGAGAAACAGAAGGCCTCAGTGGGTCACCCCCTCGGGGGGGAGAGAAAACCAAGGCACGTTATGGCACGTTAATCGAAGGTCTTCGCTTTCATATTAATTATATGTCCTTTCTACTGACGTATGGTAGAAATATAAGGCAATCCTCCAGCAGAGCCGGTGGGCCGAAGTATTCCCACATGTCCCCTCTGAAGCCTCAACGTTTCCTTATGTTTCCTTGCCCTCGCAGTGCGTAAAGGGTTCTTCGATTCCCGTCCCCGCTGTCACAGACTAACAACCTTTCAACGTAACTTGTGCTGACAGTGCGTACAGGATTGTCTTTCCCCAAGTTAGCTCACAAACTGCAACTGCATCACCCTATCAACGGCCGACAGCTCTGACGAGCTGTGCAGATGCTTGTGCCTTTTAGGGGAAATCACCAATGTGCCGTTGAAGTCCAGGTTTCAATCTTGAGTCCCCCAACATGCCCCAAGCTGCATCACTCTGTGTTGGTACTAGTAGCTGGCACGAGGGTTGAATTGCAGTTGTGCCTGGACCCAGCACACTGTTTGTCGCATAGGTGCTGCAAGTGACCCTGAGTAGCTGGAGACACTCTCAACCTTGCTTGTAGGTCATGCTACAAGATGTCAGTCACCATTTTTGATACACATTTTACATGTGAACTAGATATGAGTCTACACCAGATATGGTTTTAGGACTATGCTTCGCGATGGGGCCTCGAAAGATCCGCAAAAGATATCCTATGTTTCGCGAAGAATGGCCATTCGATCATGAAACAATGTTGATCCGCCACCACTTGTATTCTTACTGTCTTTGACTGAGTGCTGGCAGAGTGGAAACAGGCCACAAAGTTGCCAGAGTGTCAATTGCCCTATTCCACTGCTTTTCAAAAAGATAAGAAGTTGAAACATCTTGCAGCATGTGGGTTGCACGGTTCTCGGCCACACTCACATCATCCGATCTTATCAGGAGTCAGGAGCAATGCGGATTCATTTACCCCTTCATCCTCCTTCCATTCCAGGCACCCCAGTGGATGAGGAGCTAGAGCGGATCCTAAAGGCAGTGGGGTTGGTTTTGTCCAGAGGCGCTGATGGCGTCAGAGTCAAAAGCAGGGAAGAGGTGCCCCCTTTGAAGACTCGTTGCATGGATTCTAATCTTAGGTGCATGTGTTGGTTCTCCGGTTCTCTCCATCAGGGAGGTGAAAAGAGGGGGGGTTGAAGAAGTAGGACCCTAAGTAAGATCATAAGTTGATGTGTCCAACTGTTCAACTAGTGTTCAGTCACTTCTTTGTTTTTTGTTGTGGCCGCTTGAAGTAATGGCAGGCCCAAGATGAACCCAGATAACCCAAACCACCAAAAGTAGCACAGCTCAGTGAATAGCAACATTTGCGACCTCAGAGGTTGCGCTTGTTTGAACATGTTTGAACCGCCAGTGGTGGATTTGGTTTCCCTTTTTGGAGAATCGATCAACACGCCTGAGCAACAGAGCGGTCCTACTACTAGGTTGGATGTTAGATGTTCCCAGCAACCAGGGCGTTTTTTTGCGCAATACTATGTGTGTTCTTCATAGTCCCAAACTGAGACTTGCACATGCTGAAGCGCATGTGGGCTGCGGAGTAGGCTCCAGGACCGGAATGTTCGGGGCAGAGACACCGAGCCACGTTTAACATCTTTTAACCGCGTAGGGATCCGCAACTTCGCAGCACTTTTCATGAGGCACGGCTGGTGGAATTGGCCGTGATGCAGCAGAGGAAACTGATGTTGTCCTTGGAGCAGACTCTTGGATTTGGCAGATTGAGTAACGCCGATCCTGGGAATCCTTTTGAACATGCATCCGGAGGTGGTGTGGAGTCTTCAGGATGGCCAAGTATGCAAGACTTCAGGTCTGAACAGTCGACACAGCTCCAAGCATGCAGGATCATGCAAGATCATGCAAGTATGCTTGATGTTAAGTCTTGGTACAGGAAAATGGATGAAACTGGTATGTATCACTCTTCGTGTGTCACTTCAGCATATGCTCATTTCGAAGGGAGCTTCATGACGTCCAGTCCGTCCGTCGCCTTGCTGAGTGTGTCACTTCAATCCGTTTTCTCCTCTCTTCGATTGGTCAACCCAACGACTGAGGAGTCGAAGAGAAATCCTGGAGACCGTCTCCGAGTGCTTGGCCAAGGTGGGTCCCGGGAGGTGGAGAGCGCAGCGGCCGCGGGACGGGGCAGGCGGGTCATACAGGTTCATACGCAAGTGAATACAGGTTCAGTTGGTCAACAGGTTCAACAGGTTCGTTGCAAGATTGGATAGAATCTGGATCATTGGATCTCCAGATTCATCCAGATGCCTTTCGCACTAGGACACCTGCAGTACCACCTGAAAAGCACACTCGTTTACAGAACACAGTCTAGATAGATTGGACCCAACTTTTGTGAGCTTTTGTGGAGCAGCAATGTGTAGCTCGCAACCACTAGAGGGGTACTAACAAAACACCCTCAAATGTTTGAAGTTTCGTGGTCTACCTCAAGTAGGCTCTGTTTGTGATCACTCAAAACCACGCGTGACGTGGTATAGTTATTTATCACCCAAGATGAATGGATGGTTGGGCAGGGACATTTTGGGATTTGAAACATGTACGTACATAGGTGTTAACTCCTGATCTTGATGATATTTCATAACACTTCCCTTCTCTGTCCATGTCCTTGGTAGCATGGCAGGAACTCAGATGAACCACTCGACTCTCTAACGTTTGTGCGAAAAAGAGAAGTGGGGTGAGTTATCCTCATGTTTCAAAAGGTATCAAAAGGTTAATAGCCACACTTCTGAGAAGAGAACGTTGTTTTTTTCTTACCGGGTCTTATAACATCCATGTGGATCAGAATTAGGAAGTCCAGCCAGTTTGGGACGGTCAATTATCATCACCCTCTTTGACATTTATGACAAGTAAACAGCTTGCGAGATTCTGCTGGAAAGGCTTGTCAATTTGGAAATGTCTCAAGAAGAAACATGTTTGTCCTAGTGGTGTATACCGTATACCTATGTAAATCTATTATATGTGAGTTTGCTTCCAGTCCACATTGCCATCGAATCCATCCACGTGTTCTCAGCATTATATATTGTATTATATAATATAGTTTTGAATTTGTATTGTTAAAGGTGATTTTAGTGTACTGTATCTAATAATATGTGCATGGTATATAGTATAATCATCCTGGAGCAGAGGTTGAATACGATGCAGTGGTGCTTTGGTCCTACGAATGAACATAGTGTACCAATATCCACAATACATCCTTTCAATTATCGCTTCTACTATTATCTACTGCACAATTTCCACCACATCATTGACAATCACAGCTAGGATGGAAGAACCTCATCACCCATTCGTTTAGAAACCCATAACCCCAATGCAGCAAGTAGTTCCAACTATAACGTGATACCTTGATGGTCAAATAGCTCCTTAATCGATTTTCAGGCGCGTGGTGAGGAGGAGGCGCGGTTCGATTTCTCGAGATGTTGCGAGGTCATTTTTTGTTTGCAGTCGGCAGCTCTAAGTGCCCACACAAGTTCTTGGTTCATGGACATGATTCTGCAATGCAAAAACAACACCTAAGAGTCACTCCATCTACAGTAGTTCTGGTGGTGGTACAGCTAACTTGCATTTGATTCCTCCGAGCGGCCAAGCTGCTGAATTGGTCATGTCTCGACACCGTTACCTGTGGTTTCAGAGTATATGGCACATACCGCAAGATGTCCTTTAGCTAAACCACCCAACTTGGACATTTGTGCCATCTACTCTCAACCCACTATACAGTATAGCCCCCCAAATAGATAGAAATGTCGATCCCCACTAAAAATGTATTGGATACCGTTTCTATCTATTGGGGGACCACTATATATGTTGTTTGCCACAGCATGTTTGTTGGGTTCAGTCTTTTAGCGTCGCAGCTACCCGGTCACTGCATCAGGCCCGAATGGGTTGTCACTCAGATCAAACACGGACGGGCCTTGAGAACTGTCCAACGCGAACTTTGTGCACGTTGAACAGTTTTGGGCATGTGAGCATTGGACAAGCACAAAAATGTACTGATTTCAACATTGCCAGTACAATTAATAGGAAGGATTTCATTAACAGATTTGGCCCGTAGGTCATGCGCACAAGGTTGATTGATCAGGGATATGACGTGTAGGCTTTAAAGGCAAGCACCAGGAGGGCTTAGAGGCCTATGATTTAAGACCTGAAACCTGAGTTCATGCTTCCGATGGCTTGAAAGAAATGGCAACTGAGTAGTATGAACACGTCTTTGATGATCTTGAAATTGCTGCTGTACATGCTTACCGCATGCTTACCGCAGGCGGAGGTCTCTGGTGCGCGGACAGAAAGAGGCGCGATGTTTATATCATCAATTTGCTTCAGGGTGACAACAATTGCTTTATTTGTTGCTTGATTTCACTGTTTGCAAAAACCAAGACCATCCTGTACCCGTGACAGGGAGCGTGAAAGCTATTATAAGCTGTTATAAGTGAATTCTGAATTTGAGGTTATTGGCGCGTATTCATGCTCAGCATTTTCTGATGTAAAATGAGCATCTCACACGAGATTCATACGGCAGTAGCACAAACCATGCATTTGGCGTTTGTTGCAAACATTGGGGAATTGGATAGGATGCAAAGGGGTCAAAGGCCTTTACAGATGCATCATCTCCTTTGTGCTAGTCAAGGAGGATCCTTCTTTTGATCCTGAATAAAGGAGTGTTTTCTCGTTGTTTCTACGTTGCACGCATGTTATTTTGCTCTTCTTTGGCGGAAGGCTTTTTTCGTCCCACTACTCCCAGTACCCAAAATCAATCAAGCCTCGCACAATGCAGGTGTTAGTTGGGCTGGACACTTGCTTGCAGCTGTCAAGCCGATCCTACGAAAATTGCAAAACCGTCCTATAGCGATCATGGCCCTCCCTAGAGTGTCTTCCCAGTGTGCTCCATGAGGACTATGTGTGTGTGTGTGTGTCATTCAGGCTTGTTCAACCGGCATTGATAGCAGTCGGATGCAGTCGGAGACTTTCTGTTGATTCTGACAATGTCATGACATGGTAATTGAGGTTTGATTCACATGCCTAGGGGAAGACGACTGTCCCAATCACACAGTGCAATCAACGAGAACCTCTAACCTTTGCGTTTCGTCAATGGTGCGGGAGAGAGGGCCAGCAACTGCGCAGAATTGCGGGGGGATGGGATTTTCACACTGGTTTTCACTTGTTTCTCACAGACAAGGGCACAGTGGGAGATTGATGTGGTTTCGAGATTCTAACCCTTGGACCCAGCAAGTAGATGTTGAGACACCTTGTTCAACGGACCCCCAGGCCTGCTGAGGATCATCAAAGTCGAAAGCCTTCCCCGAAAACACTCGTGGGACGTGGTGTTTCTTGCTCCAACAAGGATTCAGCGGTCCGTTCTCGCAGCCTGAGGAATCAATCACGCCATATCTGAGTGGGATGTCCAGGACTGGGTCTGATGATCATTGCTCCTAAAATGTCTTGACACTCACACACACATAATAGATGTCCCCCTCCCCCGAGATGCCTTCATCAAACCTAAACCAACATCATCAACCATCAGCATAGTGAACAAATCTGTGTGATCATTTCTACCAAATCGCTGCAGTCTTCTGCAATCTCATGCAGCACCGCACCTGCGCTTCCTCCAGGAGCTCGACCCAAGGGACTCGGTCTACGACACGCAAGATCTGGAGGTCCCAGAAGCGGAATCGCTCCACTCACCTCGCTTACTACTAAAGGGGCCCATCTCGTTTCCTGCGTCACCGGTCCCACGGGGGCGTGACCGTTGTGACCTGTGCACGACCTGTCGGACTCTTCTGGTCCAGGGGAGTGGGTGCGGAAGGAACGCTGTTTTTGGGGCGGCGGCGGCGGTCCAGCCGCGGTGCCAGGACTTGGCGGCGGTTGGAAAGGTGGATACCTCGAACTGCTACCAGTGGCTCCGTTCCTCGGTCCAGATGTCGGTGACGAAGAGTGATACGCGAAGAAGACGAAGAGTGATGCGCGTCGCGCAGAAAGGAGTGATACGGAGTGATGCGCGTTTCAAAGGTGTGAGCGTTTTTGGGGGGTCCCTCCTTGGTTTGAGGCACCTCAGTTGGCAGGTTTGCAGAGAAACGATGGAGGGTTGAAGTCACAAGCATGGTCAAGACTCGTGAAGACAAAGGTGGGGCTGTATGCACGATCCACGTTGAAATCTCACTTGTAGGTGATTGCTTAGGAATGCAATGATTTCTGAAGGTTTTCCGCGGTTTTTCAATCCCTTGGAACAAATACGGAGAGTGGTAGGATACCTATAGGTGCCTTTCCTGTTTTGTCAAGGAAATTCCAGACCCGGACATACCCGTTACTTCTTTGGCGCGCATGTTGTCGTGCTTCACCAATGAGACAATCGCAGAGGAACTCATCAACCAGTTTCCTTCGTGTAAACCTTTGGGACTCAAGATGACTGAAGCGACCTTTTCAGAACCAAACGTATCAGCAGAGTCACTTTGAAGAGTTTGGAACCATCATGAGCAGGCACAGCTGCCAACCGTTGGTCCCTGGGCGGCTAAGGCCTCAAGCTTGCAAAGATCGAACACAGGCTGAGCGAAAATTGCGGTTGCTTCATCCCAAGCAAACTGCTTTTTGCAGATTGCCCAAGATTGGGCTTGTCAAATATATGTCAAATGTGTGAAACTAACCCAACCATGATGAAGGATCACCAACCCAATTGTTTTCACATTTGTATCAATGACCAGACATTGCCAATATGGCTAAGTACAAGGGAGGGCTGGCGACGGCACCAAGTCTTTGGGAAATCATAGTGAAACCATGTGGCAAACACATGGATCACCAAATGAACCTGGAGATGCTTTCTCTACAAACAGTTCTTTTTGGGGGGTGTATGCATAGAAAATCATAGAAACATATAACTATATTATTGACTGTCAAACACACATAAGCATTCATCGCTTGTCATACAGTGAATGGTGAAGATGCTTAGATACACTCAGTAATCAGGTTGAATGTTCCCATTCAGCTAAGCTATGACGGTTTGTCTTCACATCTCTTCACCGATGCTATGCTTGGACTCTCCGTTTGTGCAGTTGCCTGGACGTGATGGTCAGTCTCCTCATTGCCCTGAACACCATCGCATCTCAGCATCGGATGCAATGGATGCTTTCTGATGATGTTTTCTTGGATTGGCGGTATGCTTTTGGCGGGACGGAGGCGTTCTCTACATGCCTGAGAACTCTAGTCGAACGCAGGACTGACACAGAACTCGCAGAAGGGTCCCAGAACGTTCCTGCTGTTCACATCCTGAAGGAGCAAATCTTATGTGAGGGTAATTGTGCCTTTGGTGTGTGCTTCCATAAGACTCAAAACATCCCTCCCGCAAACCACATGGCCAAACATGTTTGACATCTCACACATGACCGGAATTCTTTTGCCACTTCCATCTCCAAACATCTCGTAAGGTCATGATGCTCTCACATCAGCAGATGGGTCATGAAGCTGCAAAGACAGTTGGTGAGTATGACTCCTCCATGGCCAATTTCGACATCTCTCAGGACTGTTTAGAGATTGCTGCAGATGGTTTTGCAGTCAGTGGTCCAATGGACAAGGAGTGGTGCAGTGGAGGCTACTGGTAAATTATCCTCCAGTCAGGAGATCACTGCATTTTCATACCTCCGAGCCATTTCTCACAACATGGACCCAATTTGGCTGCTGGCACATCCGCCCAAGCTACTTCTCAGCCAGGACACCTTCACTCGCTGTGAACAGGCTGGCAGCCGCAGCAAATGTTACGGGCGTGGTGCAGGAAGGAAAGACTTGCGATGCATCCTTGCGCTTCTTATGCATCACACAAATAGATGAGGTTAGTATGGTCACGTGCACTTTGTCAGCCTTGAAGGGACAAGCTGTCAGGTATGTATTTGCATGTATAACTCAATCCTTGTTGCCTCGAGCCTTCGGCATGTTTGCCCGTATTTGACTACATTGGGATACATTGGGGGTTTCGGGGTCGATACAGATACAATAAGTCTACCGTGTGTTCCATCTTTTTGGAGCATTTGTTTTTACTTTTTATGTTTGTTTGCTTCACACTGCCGTATGGACTAGCCAGCAGCCTACATGAACATGTGCATATTGGAATCAACACTTCTTCAACTGGGGAGCTTCCGAGGGGCCCCTGTGCCGCGTTTTGCAGGTGTTTGCCGTGATCTTCTTTTTGGAGCTTTCAGCACTTTGGCCGATTGCGGGGATGCTGCAGGGTGGATGCCTTATCCGTTTGGCTTTCAGGTGATTGTTTTTGGGGCTGAGGCTGATGCAGAGAACCTTGAAGAGGGCGTCCTTTTATAGTACATCTTAGTACATCCACTTGGTTTTCCAATTACTGCTGGCCACTCCAAGAGACACTTCAAACACCTTTATGGTTTTCCCACACCTTTGTGGTTGTCCCAACAAAGAATTTATGCTCACTCTTCTGACCCAAAGTCAGCAAACAAATGGTTTGTCCCTTGAAGTTTGTCCTTTGAGGCTAGGCTTATCATCCATGGATGCAAGTATTTGAAGAGCGTGCTGAACTTCTTCGATGCTCTCCTCGTGGCCTTTCGGCGTGCAGATTCTCGCAGCTGTGGCGGGAAACCGCTCCAATTGTCCTCTTTGTCCTCTGACGTAGTAGCGTTCTAGTAGCTTTTTTTAACGGGGGTACTGTAGGCCGCGAGTAGAGGTAGTAGCTAGAGGTAGATAGTTAGCTAGTAGTAGCTAGGTAGCTACTAGTATGGACGCAGGATAGCTCACGCTTCTTCAAGGAAGCTCCCCCCACAGCCGTAAAGGCGGCGGGGGAAGCTTCCTTGAAGAAACGCTCTCACTAATGATTTGGCTCCTAGATGTTTAGGGAAACTTAACTAATGATTTAGTAGCGATGCCCTTTGTTCCTAGTAGTTTCTTGTCACTGACTAGGTTCGTGACGGTGTCAGCTCACGTTTGGAGGCACTCGACTTAGGAAACCGATGAACCCTTGATCCTGGGGGCTGAAAATACCGGGATTGGATCCACAGCCGAGAATCTCGGGATCGATGATCTCTCTTCCGCTGCCCATGTCAACTATGCCCCCCCAAAAATACCTGCCCTGTCAATGTTGCGAATGCACATGTGAGATTTGTTTTCCATTTTGCAATGCATTTCATGATGAGAGCGGATAGATGACATTCGAGTCACACCGCAATCGAATTTCAATTCTCAAATCCGGTCGAAGGGCCCTTGAGTCACGTTCGGCGACGACCTTCGCCACCCGCTGGCATTGTGAGAAAGGACGCATAGCGGCCTTCGAGTTCTTTTTCTTTTGTTGCTTGGAACTTCGTGAGTTCAAGTACTTCGAGATTGGTAGCGGAGCCCAAGACGATCCTCCCGGAATTTGACCAGGGTGAACTTTTTGTTTGAGGACGCCTATAGGGTAATCCTGGCCGGTGAGAATTGGCTCATCTTAAAGATCACGTTCAGCAAGGCAGTCACAAATGAGTGGTCAGCAAAGAAGACAGCGAGATAGACAAGAAGGTGAACAACCAGTTGATGTCCCCATACCTCCTTCTCCTCCACGTGCAGCGAATGGAGCTAGTCCAGGAACTCCTTCCTCTGGATCCAACAACTATCGTGGATTGGATAGTGGCTTGGCAAAGGCCGCACCATCGGCCGAGGGGCTAACGCAAAGTGGCTATCGCAGCTATAGAAGACGATTGGAATTGTATGCCCTGCAGTGTCGTCGACGCTCAACGGACGCTGAGATTGAAGGTGCTCTTTTGGTCATCAGCCTCCTCAAGGACACTGTTTGGGATGCAGCAGAACAAATAGATTTGAAAGAAATCACCAGTGGAACAAATCCGTTCGCACCTTTGTTCACTATGATGGACCAGCTATTTCAATATGAAGAACAAATTGAGGTTCCATATCGGTGTGAAGAGTTCTTTCAAAGCTTCAATCGTCAGAAGGGAGAAGAAATGCAGGCATACCTCATTCGCCACCGCACTGCTTTGAAGAAACTTCGAGAGGTCAAGATCGACATTCCACCACTTCTTGCTGGATGGCATTTGTTGACCCGAAGTGGAACTCCAAAATGGACACACGTGCAAGTGAAAGCATTGTGCAAAGGCGAGCTTGACTATGAAGAAGTCCAACGAGCTTTGCTTCGAATGTTTGGTGGAGATCACAAACCAAACACCAAGGACATTGGACCTGTGGCCAAGTCATCCAAAGACGAGTTCTTCTACGAGGAAGACTATGATGAGGAGTTCTTCTACGAAGGAGAAGAAGAAGATGATTGGCATGAAATCTACTATGAAGGTGAAGAAGATGAAGAAGAAATCCCTGAGGAGCTTGAAGAGGCATACGAAAACATGGATGAAGCCTACATCTCCTACTTGGAATCAAGGAAAAGAATGAAGGAACTTGCCTTGGCTCGTGGCTTCTACCCCGTCGTAGCCATTGGTCCTGACTTCGACCATGGCAAAGGAGGCAAAAGCGAAAGAAAGGGAAGCTCAAAGGGCAAAGGAAAGAGTAAAGGAAAAGGAAAAGGAAAAGGCAAAGGAAAAAGCATGTTTCCTCGACGCCCAATGCATGGTCTTCGAAAGCCACCATCATCGTCGACCATGACCTCCTCCGAGTTGAGATCAACCCTGACCGGTTCCAATTCTTCTCATGGACCGAGGTTCAAACGATATCGAGTGCAAGCACAAGGTGTCAAAGAAGTTGGAGGTGAAGAGGTGACCATGGTGGAGGAACTAGCGGAAGAGTGCTTTCAAGAGGACATCTTCTTTGCCACCCTTGCTCCAGGTCACGCAATTGTGGATTCAGGTGCAACAAGAACATTGGTCGGAGAAGAAGTGTGGAAAGAATGGGTCGAGCACTATGATGAAGGCCTACTTGGACCTCTCCGTACTCAGGCACAAAAGCGATCCTTCAAGTTCGGCGGCGGAGAGATGCTTGAATCCAACTACGAAATCTCCTTCAACGCCTTGGTGAAAGGTCAAAAGTTGCCCATCACGGTTTCAGTGGTACCTGGGCACACTCCCTTCCTGTTGGCGAGACCTGTGCTGGAACAATGGGGGGTGAAACAAGACTACGCCAGTGGCAACATGAAGGTGGCTCAATCCGAATGGTTTCAACCAAGTCGTGGACAAAAAGGTCACTATGTCTTGAACTTGTTGGAATATCATGAAGACGAACAAGAGATGAACTACATCACGGAAGAAGAGGTCTTGATCTCGACAAGTCCACTGGAAATTGAACCGCCCTGTGAGTCAGAACCGTCTGACATTGCAGAGCAGATCCTCATGGAGTCCGAAGCAAATGAAGTTGAAGAGATTTCTCAACAAGTTTTGCAGCGCCTTCAACAAGAAAGAAAATTGATCTTCTTTGAGGTCTATGTGGATGAAGGCAACCTGGCTACAGAACTGTTGAAACGCTTTCCAGACTGTGAGGTCGCCACTTTCAGCCTACCTCATTGGGACTTTGAAAAAGAAAATGACCGAAAAGCATTCCTCAAGTTGGTGAGAGAACAAAAGCCTCACTTCATCTGGTGTGCACCACCGTGTACGAAATGGTCACCAATGCAAAGGCTCAACATGATCAAGGCCGAAAAGCTAGCCTACATCCTGGAATTGCAAAAGCAAGAAGAAAAGCAACATTTGAAACTGGTTTTGGATGTCACCGACATCTGCAACTGGGAGATCAATGCCGGCATGGCCATGGAGCATCCTCATTTGGCTATGTCATGGAAGACGAAAACCTTGGAGTCCATGGATGGTTATGATGCAATCTGCAACCGATGCAGGACCGGCTTGTGCTACTATGATCGCATGGGAAACTATGTCGGAAAGGTCAAGAAACCTACGAGGATTCGCACAAACAGCCAAATGGTCTTTGAAGCACTTGATCTTCCATGTGAATGTCTTCCTGGAGAGCATGTTGCTATGGATGGAAAAGCAGAAAGCTTGAAGAAAATGCAAAACTACGAAAGAGGCTTCGTGAAAAGAGCAGCAAATGCCATCTATCAGGAGATGGAAGAACGATGGCGACAAAGAGAGATAGCCAAGATCTATATGGTTGAAGAGCAGGATGAGAAAAACAAAGTGAAGAATGCATCCAACATTACTGAGGAAGAGAAGAAGCTGATGAAGACCCACAGCAAGCAAAACCTACAGGTCATCAGCAAACTGCACAAGCAACTTGGACATCCAGGTGTAGATCGGATGATCAAAACGCTTAAAGATGCAGGTATGGATGAGTCTCTGATCCGATGTGCCAAAGACTACAAGTGTGAAGTATGTGAGCAACAGGCACAACGGAAATTGGAGAAACCAGCTTCACTGCCTCAGGCCAGTCACTTCAATGAATGTTTGGAAGCCGATGTTTTTCACATCCGCTGGAATGGAGAAAAGCGAAAGGTTTTGGCCATCCTCGACATCTATTCCAAGTACGAAATCAATGCAGTGTTGGAGAGAGAAACTGAAGAAGCTGAATTGAAGATACTTCGTGAACAATGGCTTCAAACTTTTGGTCCTCCAGAACGATTCAGAACAGACCAGTCGGGAGCACACATGAGTCAGAAGTATCTGGACTTCTTCGACCAAAACAACATCAAGCTGATCCTCGTGCCCAAAGAAGCTCACTATAGAATGGGATCAGTGGAAAGACTCCACGCTGTGAGAAGAATGCAGCTGCTCAAAATGCAAAAAGATGAACCGAATGTACTCCTTGAAGAAGCTGTTCCAGTTGCTTGTCATCAACGAAACCGCCTTCGTTCAGTGCATGGCAGCTCACCATACCAAATCGTTTTTGGACACAATCCTCAATCGAACGGTCTGTGTGATGAACCGCACTTGTCCAAACCGCTCGATGACACGGAACAGCACCAAAAAGATCAAGCACTTCGGTACTCAGCAGCCAAAGCATTTTATGAAGCCAACAACAACCAGCTGCTCAAACGTGCACTTCTTGCCCGGCCACGGTCTGAACATGTGGCCGCCAGCCTTGGCGATTGGATCTACTACTGGAGACAGGGGGAAAACAAACTTGACCCTACTCGCTGGCGTGGCCCTGCATTGGTCTGCGCCATAGAGCCCCGCAAGAACGATGACGGCCGCATCCGAGCTTCTGTTTACTGGGTTGCTCATGGATCCAGTTTGGTGCGTGTTGCAAGTGAGCATATTCGTGCCGAGGTGGCTCGAGAAAGAGTTCATCGCCTGGAAACGCAACCTGACACCGCTGTTTCGAACAGTTTGGTTCATCGAGTTCGACAAGCTCTGACCCCTGTGCAGGGTCCTGTGCGTTTTCTTGATCTTGCAGGGGATCCCACCTTTTCGAATGCAAAGGCTGAAACTTCTGTCCCTCCTCTGGTACCACCAGAGAGTCCAGAAGTTCCAATTCCTCTGGTACCACCAGAGAGTCCAGAAGTTCCAATGTCAGAACCTCAAGCCGAAGAAGAAGTGACAACAGAACCTCAGCACACTGCGGCAGCAGCAGAACACAAGACAGCAGCAGCCAGCACGGCAGCAGCAGAAGCTGAAGCAGTTGAAGTAGAAACAAAAGAAGACCAAGATCCAAGTGGCCGAGGAAGATCAAGAAGCCCTCCACCTCATGACTCTCGGCACAAAGACTTTGAAAACCTGTATGAGTCCTACAACAAGGCACGTCAACTTGATGGCCTCCCGCCTGTTTCTCGAGATGATCATCAGCCATCAGCTGAAAAGTCAATATGACATGCTGTATGGTGAGGAAGTTGACTGGCTGGACGAAAATTTCATGGCCACTTCATTCAGTGAGAAAAACCTCACCAAAGAGCAGAAAGAAGAGTTCGCCGAAGCTCGCAACAAGGCTTTGGATGTCTGGTTTGAGAATCAAGCATGGCGACCAGTCGATGCCTCCGAAGCCCAACCAGGCGAAGCAGTACCAGCAAGATTTTTGCAGCGCTGGAAGCCAACAAAAGAAGGGCAGAAAGCAAACGCCCGAATCATCATACAGGGATTCAAACATCGTGATGTGCTCGAAGACACTGTAGATAAGGAAGCTCCTACTTTGTCCATGGTTGGTCGCAGCTCCATTTATCTTTTTGCAGTGGTTCGTCAGCTCAAGCTGTGGAGTGCTGATGTGAAGACTGCTTTTCAACAAGCAGACAACATCGAACAAGAAGCCCGAGTGTTCATACAGCCCTCAGCTGAGATTCGACGCCTCCTGGAGAGAAAGATTGGATTGAAACCATGGCAAATCATGCGTGCATCCAAGCCCGCTTTTGGTGATTGCAGAGCTCCAAGACAGTGGAATGCAACTGCTCATAGGTGCTTGACTGAGGAACTTGGCATGATCCCACACCCTTTGGATCGTTGTGTGTACCTCAGCATTCGAGCTGCATATGAATCTGATCCAGTTTTCGAAGTGTTCCAATGGAATGGGGTCCCTAGCATTGTTGACGGCATTTTTGGACTCCATGTGGACGACTTCATTGGTGCTGGTGAAGGTTTCTGCAGTGAGCATGATTTGAAAAAGGAATGTCCCAATGAAGAGTGTTTCCTCAACCGCATCCTGCGTTTGGCTCAGCGTTTTCGTTTTGGTGCATGGGATTTTGGAAATGGCTCAAAGATCATCTTTTGTGGTGCTGAACTGCAACAGTCGCTAGACTACTCCACCATTTCGGTGAGTCTGGCGAACTATGTACAAAAGGTGAAACCGATTTCATTGGACAAATCCAGGAAAACAATGACAGAGTCTCCATGCGATGAACGTGAACACCGACAGTTCCGTGCCCTCATTGGTGCGCTAGCATGGCCTGCTCATCAAAGCATTCCAGAGTTGTGTGCAAGCGTGAGCATTTTGCAAGCATCAGCAAGCAATCCATGTGTTGGTGATTTGAACCAAGCAAACAAGCTGCTTCGTTTTGCAAAAGAAGTTTCAAAAGATCACCAACTGTACATGCGTGGTTCATGTGCTTTTTCTGAGTTGTGCATTGGAGCCTATACCGATGCTGCCTGGGCCGTGAGACCCGACGGATCGAGCCAAGGTGGACTTTTGGTTTTCATTTGTTCGCACCAAGAGCTGGAATCCGGCAGCATGATGCCGCTCAATGTCTTTTATTGGAAATCGCACAAGTTGGCACGTATTTGTCGGTCAAGCTTGTCCTCAGAGGCTCAAGCAGCCGCCATTGCAGTGGATGAGCTTGAATGGTGCAAGATTTTTGTTTCCGTCATGAGCGACCCCACCTTGCCGATCGAAAGTCCGGAAGCATTGCAAAAGCTTGGACCATCCCCGCTAGTGACAGATGCAAAATCTTTGTTTGATGCTGCCAAGTCCTTGTCTCCCAGCATGAAATTGAGTGAGAAAAGAACTGCGATCGAAGTGGCCATTGTGCGAGATCGCATGAATGCTTTGTTGGGAAAATGGATGTGGGTGAACTCACACCAACAGATCTCTGACGGCTTGACAAAGCCGGCTTCCAGAGATTCCATGGCCTACATCATGAAGCGTGGCACCCATCAACTCAAGTTCAACCCCGACTTTACAGCCTCCAAGAAAGTGTCCTCGGAAGCCAAGAAAGAAGAAAGGGAAATCCATGAAGCTTTTTCAAAAGAAATGGAAGAACAACAAGTTTTTGCAGTAGAAGAGTGGCAAAAGCATGAACAAGGTCTTTGTTTACTTCCAAGTTGCTGCAAACCCCGCAACGAGAGTGATCCTCGAAACAAATACTGCAGCAGAAGGCATTTTTATGCCCATCGCAGCTCAAATAGTCATCAAGACGAATGGAAGAAGGCAGCCTTGTTTTCCGCAGCCATTTTGATGGCAAGCGAAGCGCCTCTTGCTGAAGGAGCTTTGACATCTGTTGAAGCTGAAGGATGGAGATTACCAATCTTCATGTCCTTCATGGTCATCATGATCTTCGCATGGATCGGCCTTGAAAACGTGTTTCTGCGTTTTGGCATTGAAACCATCTTTTACAAGGCCTACCGCTTTGCAAATGACAAGGTGACGAACCTGTTCAGAGAGGAGATGAATGAAAATGAGCAGGTTGTTGAGAATGACCAAGCTTCTGCGAATGCCCCAGTGACTGAGAACCCGCTCAATCCTCCTAGCCATGTCGTTTCCGCAGCTGTTCAGGCCGATGAGGTGATTCTAAATGCACTGACTTTGGCCCGTCGTCCTGGAATAGATTCAGGAAGCACGACTACGAACACAGAGTCGGATCTTCCAGATGAAGAATGGCATCGCTGGAGTCGCATGAAGGTGAGAGTTCAAAACGAGGCTGGACAAGGCCCATATCGTCGCCTTCTATGGGAACTTGAAAACCATGATAGTAGTCTGGACTCCCAGACAAGGTGCGTGTTGCAATCTGAGAGCTTCACCACACAGCGCTGGAGGAAGTTCAGTGAATTGCTTCGAGCTCAGGACACCTCGCAATTTTCTGATGAGCAAGTATGTCAGTGGCACCGAATGTGGAATGACAACCTGGTGTTTTTGGCTGACGTGAATCGTCGCATCGTTCGTCAGAGAAATCAGATCATTGCCTTGGAACGCAATGACCGTGTTCGTGAGCAAATCTACAACGGTGAACTGGCTGATCGAACCTGCCAGACTCCTATGACGTTTGTTGCTGGCACTTGACCAAGACGCCTGGCTGAGAGAGAACATGGTGCCTGGTACCATGTGAGTGATTTAGATGTCCTTCGTTGAAGATGACTCTAGCCCGCTTTTTGAATTTTCTTCGACAGCCCTTGAAAACTTCCTTGGGCGTGTCAATGTTGCGAATGCACATGTGATATTTGTTTTCCATTTTGCAATGCATTTCATGATGAGAGCGGATAGATGACATTCGAGTCACACCGCAATCGAATTTCAATTCTCAAATCCGGTCGAAGGGCCCTTGAGTCACGTTCGGCGACGACCTTCGCCACCCGCTGGCATTGTGAGAAAGGACGCATAGCGGCCTTCGAGTTCTTTTTCTTTTGTTGCTTGGAACTTCGTGAGTTCAAGTACTTCGAGATGCCCCCCATGCCTGTGTCAATCAAACACTGCTTGTTTGTACAGTAGGTCTTTTGATACACTCAATTATATAAATTTCGAATAAAATCGATCATCTCTTGTTCTGTGGAAAGTCACATCTTTCACGGTCTTCATGTTCACTCGTATTACCTTCGTTCATCCTAGGCCCTTGGAAGGTGGCTAAGGCTTTGTGCATGTCACAGATGCGTGGGGAGGGCTTTGGCATGCTTTGGCATGCTTTGGTGCCTTGTGATTTCTCACAGGTCATCAGCCTGGTGGATATGCTGATCCTTCAACCGCTCCTGGATTCAGGCTGAGCTTGCTGTGATCATAGTAGTTGTCCCAAAAAAGTTGGGAACAAAAGAAGCATGGGCTTCAAGACTTGTCTAATGGTATGTATACAGAAGTCACGGATGTCCTCGTATATGATTGGATGATTTGGGTATCTTGAGTTTGATCTTTGCTTCTTAACAACGGCCTTTCTCCCGCATAAATCACCTCCTGCCGTGTGTATGTTTATTTACATCTTTGCCCTGCTAAGAAAGGTTTTGGACATCGTTTGACACGGTGCCTTTTCCCAGGCACACCCGCTGGTTGTGTTTCTTAACACCGCTTCGCACCTCTCGGGACACCGTGGCTTCGCCGCGTTCCGGGTGCGGTGTAGCGGATCGGGTGATGTTTCATGTTCAACTGAATCCATGTTGAATCCCCATCCTGGGACAATCGTTCCTTCATGTCTTTCAGTTCGACCGAAAAAAGGTGGCGTGAACCTGGTGATCCTTCGTTTCCTTCGGATCATCAAGCTGGCGCGCACGCTGCGGGCGCTACGCGACTTGGGCGGCAGAGGTCGACGGAGAGACTGGGAGAGAGTTCTTCCATGAGAGGTGCTGATAAGCGCTTAAAGCCCGTTGTTGTTTTCAGGTGTTTCCGGCCCCCCCAATAAAACATATATAACAACCTGCCCAATAGAGCATCAGTGAAGCGAAGTTCACTCTTCGACAGATTGTGGGCCATGTATAGACTATCGGCAATTGGGGAGTTGCGTACTTTGAAGCACACTGAATCACCAACGGATCTTCCCTAGGTGATGACATCTCTGGCAACATTTCGCAACTATTCATGGCTAGCCACATTGTTTCTATGTTTCATGAAGTTTCATGGTAACCTCCAGCTCTTATTCATGTGTTTCTATAGGGCCCGGCCGCAGCGATGTTCGGATCTCCGAGCGCCGCAGCTTTCGGGTCCAACGTCCCCGGCCCGTTTTCGGCTCCGCTCGGCGCTCGAAGGACGCGAAGGACGCGTGCACCACTCAGGCAGCATGCGCTTGTTCACGGGCTTAAGAGTGCTGGTGGCAGCCGTGAGCTCCTTCTTGCCCTCCTTGTGGCTTGGATGTCGATTGCAAGAGACATTGGGGATACGAAACAGAGATCCTTAGAGGTAGAAACGGCTGGTGTCCCAAAAAGAATGACTGGTGTCCCAAACCCATGACAAAGTGGCTTAGGCGTAGTTTGGGACATTTTTGGAGCTGCTGAGCTGCCAAGTGATGTTTCATCCTCCAGTCGTTTTCGGTGAGCGGTGATCTCTATGGGCGTTTGGATGTTTGCTCAAACGATTACCAGTGAGCTTGGCATTTGAATGCATTTGGGATCGGCTGAAAGAGGGTTCTCCTGTCATGCTAGGACCTGGAGGAACAATTAGCTGACGTGAAACACCCATTTTGAAGCTTGTATACATTACAGTCGACATACATTAGACACGTAGACACATGAGAATTTCGTCACACAGGTTTTGGTCCATGTTCTTCCTCACGATTTTCATCATCCTCGGTGGTTTGCTGGTTGGTACCTCGCTCATCGACTTCATCCACGACGAAAGCCACTTGGCACGTGCAACGGCCCTGGGGCTGAGGGCCGGGTATCCATGTGGCGGTTCCGTTTCAGACCCTGAAAAGAAGAATGTGGATATGTGGATTATGGAATGGAATGCTGAGGATCCAGTATGTCGACTTGTTGCAGGTTTTGTTCCCTGGTTGGTATACCATCAGTACATACATGTATCTACGATAGATTCTTAGACTATGGATGATGGGATTTTCAGTAGCCAAGCAACACATCAACCAAACTCTGTAAGGCTACAGAATTGACGAACGATGCCAGCAGGCATCGGGTGGACAGGTGTTTTCTGTCCGCTCGGAGTCACCAGTGGACAAGGAGCCCCTGTTGAAGGGATGGGATGCCGTGCTGTGCTAGCTGCGGCCGGGAAACTCGTGCGTGGAAGGTCAAGATTTGGAGGTTCGCCGATGGGTTTGGCAAAGATATGGATCCATGGCCTCCATTATCGAACTGGACTGATGCAGGGCTGGGTGGGGATGCTGGAGGCGGCGGAGATTCTCCTGGGACCATGGCTTGCGTGGGGTTTTCAGAAGGTTTAGGAATGAATGGTCGCAATATAGTATATGTCTACATGCAGAAAGGATTCCAAGATGCCCCACTGACGGTTGCTGCCGGACCTTTCAGCTTGTTTGCCATTTGGTGAGTTCTCATTCTACAACTTGTTCCTTATTTGTTGAGCAAACGAGCAACTATATTTGCCCCTATGATCTAGATGATGTGCACACGTTCTTTTGCTTCCTCCCCAGACGCCAGACCACATCACCAGAACGACGACGCGTCGACGTGCGTCAGATCGGCCGACGAAGTCACGTGCGTCAGGTGTCCTTAGATCACTGGAGTGGGGGAATACATGGGAATAGTGGGGATGACTGGGCCTCAAAAGACCTTAAATAAGTGGTCCAAAGAGGTTGGAGGCCATCACTATTAGGTTGGAGGCCATCGCATTTAGGTTGGAGGCCATTGCTATTCAAGTGAGGATGTTTGCTTCGAAGGCTGATGGTCTTGCTGCCAAGGGGTGTTAGGCAAGAAGTCCTTAAGAAGTCATTGGCGAAAAGGAGGACTCCATCCAAATGGATCCAGGGGAGCTAGGCAGTTGGTAATGCAGTTGTGAACGGGTGTGGACATGCCGAAAGCATCCAAAAGCCAATAAAAAAACAGCAATCTAATTGGAGAGATCGTGTGCACCTCTCAGCTGCAGCATGCATTCGTGCAATCGCTGGCAGTGTCCGGTCTCGGGTGCTGTCAGGAACTTCGTATCGGGCCACCTACACCATGTTCCAGGCCTACACCATGTTCTCGTGTTGATGTGCGTTGCACAAACATAACACCCAGAAAACCTGAACCTTTTTGGCCAAATTGGTAACTATAGGCATTTATAGGCGTTTGTAGTGACGATGTGAGGATGAACGTCCAGGGACGATGTGAGGATGAAGCGTGGACCTTCCCAGTGGTACGCACAAGACATGTGAGTTCAGCGTTTTGGTACGGTATGGGTACTTAACTTGTTATGCAGGTGTTAAGCGGACACCATTTTTGTTGGAGGGCGCGGCATGGTCTATCGTTTGCGCATTGTCATGTGTTGTTTCTGATTCGGTTGGCCGGGCTGATTTCGGTTCGCACCTGCTTGTTCAGACAGAGGCGCTTCATGTGACATAACATGAGTGCATGCTGTTAAGCTCATGATGTGTTTGCCCTTGTGCTTGAATTGAGCACCTGGCAAACTGGAAATTAGGCTGTTCAAGAGGTGGATCAGTGGAATGCCTGCAGCGGTCTTATGCTCTCTTTTGAAGAAGGAATGTCACCAACTTTGAGGGGTGTTCCACCCCTCCACTCCCCCTGCCACCACTCCTGTCCATCCGAGAGGGCACAGAAACACAGTTTCCTCCAGCAAAACTGCCGTCTTCACCGCCTTCGTTCTGAATTCACCGGAACGTCAATCACCGCCTCCCAGCACTTCCCACTGCTGCCTTTGCTTTCACTTTGTTTCCCACCGGAGGTCACTCAGGCCCCATTGACTTGGATGAGGAGTATGCGGAATTTAATACCGGCCCATCCTACCCACCAAGCACCCCCCGTACCATCAATCCGAGAAGAGAGGGAGGAAGAAAACGACAAGGAGTTCTGTGTACATCACCAGCTCATATTCATGTGTACATCACCGCCAGTGACCCTGTGGATGATCTAAGGGAATTAGAATTAGTTGGATGATTTTTTGTCTCGAGACCTGCTATCCGTTCAAAGTGATTCTGACAAAACCCCATGCACGGGGTGGGGCATGATACCACCTCAGAACTCGAAACATTTAGTTGCAAAAGCCAGCCGTAGGCTAGGGCCTAGCCGCTAGTTTCTGCGAACGAAGTGAGTTTTTGCGAACGTGTGGAGGGGCGGATCGTGCCAACTCTGGCTTTCGCTCCTTTTTTATAAACGTAGGACAGGGTCGGTCCAGGAGAAGGTGCCTGGCCTGCACTGAAATGCCTCATGAACTTGGACAGGTGACCTTTGCAGGATGTTGGCCAAGCTATGTGAACCCCCTCTTTGACAACGTCAGCATGTGGTCGCTCGCCAGCGCAATGTGGCGAAACCGAACGCCAGGGCAGTTTAATATTTGTGTCCGTCGCTGCGTTTTGAAGACGTAATGTGGACGGACTTTGTCCATTCGAGGTATGCGTTGTTCTTTTGCATCTACGTGACATTCGTTGTGTTCGTATCTTGGACTGCAAGTTTGGACACACCTGCATTGCAATTCAATGTGGTTTGCACAAAAGGACAGAAACACAACAAGACTGGATATGTGCCTTCCAAAACAGGTGCCAAACGACTTTAATAGCTTTCAGAGCTTGTGTGGTGTGTGCCAGGCCGTCATGCGCGTGATCACCGCAATTTTTTTGAAGGCAAGTTGACTCAGTTGAGCGGTTGCCACGGGAGCGGGTGATTGAACAACATGTGCAGTACAATATGTTACATGTCTTACTTTGCAGATATAACATGGTCGATCGACTGGTGGGATATTTTTAGGCGCAGACACTAAACAATAGTTTCATTGTTTAAGCACAATTACTTGCACATTTGATTTTACATGATTTTGCAATCTATTTTTTGTTGCTGTTGCTGCTGACAAAATCAGGAAACTTTGGATGCAGCAGGAGAGGACCACGAGGTGGTCATGTCAGAGAAGGAGGCTGGTTCAAAGGTGCATGTCACAAATCAATTACTTGAGCGAAGGTAACTGGTTACGTTGTGAGCTTTGCGATTAAAACACATAGTAACAAAACCGAACAAAATCCAATGTCTCATTACTTCGTCTTGGTGATGTCTTTTCCTCTCAAAGCCACCGTTTGCCCGGTTGTCCGAGGCCACAAAGAAAAAATATTTGCGGAAGCTGGAACGGATCTTTCATGAGATGGATGTGTCGGGAGACGGCCTGGTCTCAGAGGAAGAGTTCAAAAGCATGATGGAGGACCCACCGGAGACGTGGGCTCTTGGTATTGAAAACGTCATAAACAGTGTTGGATTGTGAAGGAGACGTGGTGAATATTGTGTTGAAGAGATGGTAGTGAGTCAAGGCCCACCTTGCATATGTAGAAATAGACAGTTGCCTTTGATGTTGCAGCGGTTTCAACGTATTCCACAACAGAGATCCACTGAAAGTAGATCTAAAACGAGTGCGCAACAGCGTCCTGCACCCATCGCAAGCACCATTGGTTGGGTCATGTCACCCCTGAATCCGTGTTTGACTGACATGTCTGGACGAATTATCCCCCAACCTTTGACATGGTCAACCGATCCCCCAAAAATCCGGCTCACCCCCAAAAATCCAGACCCGGTTTAACGTCACAGTCACATGGAGCGTTGTCAGGACGAAAACGTCAAGAAGTATCTGGTCTTTTTGGAGGTTGACCTCAACGAGTCCCAGCTGACATCGAGTGGTCATGGCAGTTTTGGTGAGAGAAAGATCACCAATGAAATTGACTTGGTGGTGTGCATCTTGATTTTACATGATTTTACCAATGAAATGGGCCAGTCACGTAGAGAAAAGCTGAATGGACCGCATCAGTTTCTTGGTAGAAGACAGCAGTGTTTCTGCACGGCGTTCGCGTGCATAGATTCGATGGTGTTTTGCCGCAGTCAGAAAGGTGTTCAAAGCTCATGCCATGGTAGAAAAGAAAATATCTGGATGTTGTATAGTGGTTTCACCACATGTCACCCATCTGAAAAGACATAATATTGCGCCATCTAAAGTCTGAAACCACTGCTTGAGAAGTAAGCTGAAGCTGTTATAGTGCATTTTTTTGGAACCCAAAGCACGCCGCAATCGACTATTTTTTTTCTTCAGGAGAGTCATTCGTTGTTCCACATGATGGCAGATGAAGACGGTCAAGTTTCTTATACCAGATTTATGGATGGACGCTTGGCTGGAACGGATCCTGGGGAAGTCCGACATCGATCTACGATCGGCGTGTGGCGGCGAAGGGAGACTCTCGGAGATCCCCCCCGCCGATTCGACCCGCTTCGGGACATAAAACCAGTCTACCCAGCCAAGGCCCCGGAGCTCCCTTTTACACACCCAAATATAAATGAGTCTTTTCGTTATAAATATCTTCATATTAATTAGTCCATCGACTCCATCCCCTAGAGCTCCAAGTGCCGAAGGTCTGACTGGACCTCCCCAAACCCTCTCCAGTCCCACCTTCCAGGATCGTCTATCAGAGGGTACTTGGAGGTCTAAGGGATCGACTTCTTTCCAATCCTTCACCGACCGAACTTGACTCCGAATCGACTGAACCGTTGGGTACACTGAATCCGAACGAGCCGGACCCGTCCTGGCGTCTGACCAAAGGAGGTCAGGGTTGGCAGTCAATTGAACCACAGGAGCTTCGCGGGAGGTTTTAAGCCAATGGACATGCTCGGAAGCTCTCGGATGTGGTGCGGTTTTCATGGTTTTGGTCCACCAAATGAGTCCCGGTTTTTGTGTGCGCTCCACCTTGTCGGTTGTTGCCACCAGTCCAACCCGTCCATGTGGAAAGCGGTCGGTCCACGTGTGCGGCAAGGTATGAATCGCGCCAAGGGCCTGGCGAAAGCGGCACCTTGCGGGTGAAGACTCATACCAAGCGGAGAGGGGGATACTTGTGTCGAGCTCTTTGGAATAGGTTGATCATGGTTGATCATCGCAGGGGTCGGAGGTCGACAGGAGGTCACTCTTGGACCTGGCGGACTGATGTTTCCCTGCTGAGGTTGGAGCTGACTGACTCAGCTAGGAGGTCTCATCCTTGGCCCAGTCCCACTTTTTGACAGGCTCACAACTCACCAGTGAGCACGATAGTTGAGCTAAGACAGGTGTGTACAAAGAATGAGGCCCTGGGTTTACACAAGTTTTATCAAGTTTTATATACACCTGTTATATCCTGTTATAGGCTTGGGAGGAGAGTCATGTTTGACCCACTAGCAGATGGGAATTGGATCCAAGCCTTGTAGAGATTTCACGGAGTTGGATTCGACTGCTGAAAAGAGTGGGATTCTACCCGCCCTTAACCCCAGTGGCACTCATTTCTTCGTTAGTTTCTTCGTTTGAAACTGGTTTCATGTATATAGCAGGAGTTGTCGCACTACCAGTGAGGCAGTGTGCTTTCTAAGTGTATCAGCTGTGATTTGTTTTTCGTTACCAGGCAGACATTCTGTGCATCCGACACGATTTGGAGAAGCTTCGAAAAGACATTAAGTTGGTCAAGGCAGGGAAAGCTAGGCACCGAACTCATGAGGGAAACAATAGGAAACACCATATGAGCAAAGGCGCTCAGATGAGTGTAAGGAGATTGAACAGTGAGCTGTAAAACCAAAACACCTAGTTTTGGATGCGGCTCCTTGCTGCAAACTTGAAGGTTCCCAGTTGACTGTTGTGTTGGTCTCAAAATTTATGGAAATCCATTTAGGAATCCAACAATCTCAACATGCTTTATGTTTCAAGTTTCAACAAACTGTTTGGGATTCCATTTGGAGTTCTTAGGCTTGCAATTCCACCCCATGGCCGCGGGAAGTCTGGTGGTGTTGTGAATTTGCCCTAACCCGGAGGCGTTGTCAGGCCATGGCCTCTCAGAGGAGGAGAGGGACCATCGGGAGACGATTGACCACATGGGGTGAAGAATTGCAAAGCTGAGCTGATTCAGGGCTTAACCGTAAATCTGTAGTCCATGTAACATCATGTAACTGTTGCTTGAAGATTTATCAGTTTTTATTCCTTGTCTGTTGAAACTTTGGTTATCTTTGCTTGATCGATATAAACATTCAACAAAGCATACTCCAACAACTTTTTATCACCCTTTGAGTTTGATGCTTTTAGTGGGTGTTCGACCAGTACTCAGGTTGAGTGGGATGGTGAGGTGAATGTCCAACCAATAAAACCAATGTCCATGTCTGTGACGGGAGCGGCGTGGCTGGAAAGGCTGCTGTAGCTGAGAGGAACTGTATTTAGGCCTATTATTTAGTAAGTGAGTATATACTTGGTTTCATCCAGAAGGCTCCGTCAAGCGGCACTTAAATTGTTTGCTTCTCTGAGCAGAAGACCATGTGGGCAGGAGATCAACGCATATCAAGCTGCATGTCGTCTCTTCGCTGCGATGTGAGCGTTTGGACATGGCTTGCCCTTTTTTGGGGTGTTGATGGAAGGTATGGGGGTGTGCAAAACAGCCCCAGCTACAATGCCTACTATAGCTGCTGACTACTATCGACTTCCAGCAGCCCTTCCACAGCTGATCCTGGTGCACAGGGAAGCTGCAGTCTAGGGCTTTAGTTGAGGTGACCTGCACTTGCACGAGTCCTTACTTTGAGATTTGCATTGATCATGGATTGAGGGCACCGCTCGGATGGTGGCAAGTCGTCCTAGGCCACCTCAGCATGAGTCCATGGAAGTCCAATAGTGGCCGGAGGCGGATGGGGCGAAACTGGCGACAGCTCGAGCTGTTGGACGTGGGTGGGTGGCGAAGAACGACGTTGGACAGCTGAGACATGACATCATCCAGAGGCGACCGCCGACCTGCAGGTTGTAATGATCTAGGACCAGATTCTAGATGATCGTTGGAGCTGTGACATCATGGGCGCCCGGCACTTCCATTTTGTGGACTGTACGGTGCGTCCGTATGCTAGTTTGTGTGGTCATCATAGCCATTCCATCACTCCCACGATGGTGAACATTGGTGTCAGAAGATATTCACAAATGGCAAGTCCAGGGAAAAGTATGGAAACTTTGCCAATACACACAAAGCTGCATACCGGGCAGCTTTCTCAATGTAATTGTATATGATGAGCTTAACTGGAAGAATGTTGCCATACAGATAACTTCTTTCCTTGGCTCAATCAACTGGCAACGTTGTTTGTCAATTCAACTTGCACCAAGGCTCTTGCATAGATCAATCCCAAATGGGCGTGCATTAAAATAGATAAACTCCAAAAAAACCCTCCTGGAAGAATGCAAATAGGCACAAATAGACCAAAATCTATTGGTTCGAGAGTCCGCATTCGAATGCATACCATTAGACGAACGTTCTTCCGTGACTTCGTTCGGTCGTCTCCAGGTGACTTCGTTAAAAGGGGCGACCTCAGCCACTGCCTGCGTTCGGAACGAAGCGAATATCACAGGCGTTGTTGCGTCAATCCAACATAGTTGCTCTTATAATATACCTATGCTTAAGCCAGGAGCAGTTTTTTCCTGCAGCAAATGTTTGGGAGATTTTCCACTGTTGTTCGGAGTGCTTGCGTCATGTTGGAAGCAGACCTGTTATTTGTTATTTGTGTTGAGTGTTAAGATGTGCTTACCCTGGCAAAGAGGGTAGACAAGGCCCCTTCCAATTTCCCTGTCCAACCACCAACACAAACACAAAGCAAGTCCTTACTCCAATAAAGGAGACTCTGGCAGGTAGGAGAGCCGCGCAAAGACTGGCTAAAGCGACAAGACTGTCCAAAGTGAGGGTCCTGTGCCTTTCCATCGCAACGAAGCGGCCGCGAAGCGGCCAGCGACAACACACAAAATGTGGGGAGATGCAAAAAGACCGGCATGGCACGGTCCAAATCGTCGATCTCTTTATTCTCCATTGTTTGTTTGTGTTTGGGATTATTGGTATCCTTGGATTCTTCGCTTGGATTTGATTTTTTGAAGATGGGATACGGCAGTTGTTCGGAACATGGTGATATAATATATGGTGATTGAGCTTGCCGTTGGTGTCAGTGTATAACTGTTGTACCGGACTGCACCAACGAACCACACTTCTAGTACCTTAACAGAGGCAAGTGGAAAGGAGTTGAACATGTTTTCATATGTCTTCATGTCTTCCGTCCATCTAGTCTTGAGTGAATATGATTGTATGTGGCAGCAAGGTGATACTGCACCTCGCAATTTCCAGTTTATGATAGTTGATGTAAGTGCATGATTCACAGATGAAAGGAGGGTCTTGGAAAGTGCACCAAGCGCACTTCTGAATGATTTTGCAACCTTTTTGAGTCCAGATTGTGATGCCAACACTATAAGCCGTTGCCAATGAACCTAAAACAAACCTCGCCCGGCATGCTCCCAGCTTGCACAGCCATGGTAGCATCCAGTTTTAGAAAGCCAGCCATTCTCTTGAGGCTTTAACATGCAAGATTCAGCACTACCAGATTCTTACGCAGAAGACTCAAGTCCTGGAAATGGTTTAGTATGCATCATAGAGGATTCTTTCACATGTTCTGATACGTTGAATTTAACTCAATTCTATCTACTTCGCTGAACACGATGGTGCGGCCAAGCGGTGGTCGTTTCTTCACACCCTTGCTCTTGCTGCTTGGGTGGGGTCCCATGTCCAGAGTAGTTGACTACAGGCTGCTCTGAACGCAGCCCTTGTCGTTGGGCGACAAGCGAAGCAGGAACCGCAGGAAGTTCAGTGTCTCGTAGTGTCTCCAAACTATCTAGGTCAACCATGGTGAGCTGCTAGCCGAACGCCCCCTGGACTGTACCGTATGGAACTTCTTAGTCGCTTCAATGTTGTTTTCAGACGATAAGAAGTACCATCCTGGACCATCAACATGGTTGGTTTGCTCCGTTGAAGATTACCCAATCCTGGACCTGCACATGCAGCAGCACATGTCAGATTCTGCATGAAGCGAATTCCAGACTGGAGTGCCTTGAAGACATTCTTGACTAAAAGCATGACTCACTGAGATTCTATTTTATTAGTCCGGCTCTGTCGGAAGGTTTGACCACAAACAACAGCGGTTTTTGATGGTGTTTGATTCGTCTCTGTAAATTACTCAGATGCAGCATAGCTATAGATAATGATAGATATGAGATATGTTTTCGAGTGCTTTCGAGTTGCTGAGGTCCTTTTGGATCTCATGCAACTTTGTACCTGCGGGAGGACGCTTGGAGCTATGTTCCTGGTCCGAAGGATTGTATACAACAGAGGCCTGAGTAGCGGGTAGGCAGTAGTGGATTGATTCATGGCAGTTTCTACTTCTGCTCTTCAGATGAAATGTTGCGTGATGAATATGATGAATGTAGGGATTGGTCAAGGTAGCTGAGGGTGGAAGAATGTGGAAGCAGAGCGTTGGGAAATTGGTTCAATGGTTCAATTTTAAAGCCGGATGTACTCCTTAAAGGACATTTAAAGGCTTGACATGCTTCGTTCAGCATTTGTGCCCACAGTCATTTGTCTCACTGACATGCTAGCTTAGGTTTTAGGCACTTAGCTTTCTTAGGCAACGTGTGACTCTCTCGCGAACGTGCCAACGGTGGCGTCGTGCCTCGCGGCTCTTTCTCGGACAAGTGAAGCCACGCAGAGTGAAAGGCATTAAAGATAATGAACAAGTAGTATAAACACGAACACAAGAAACACATGTCAAGCATCATATATTGAAACATCAAACATGTTTCGTTTGATTCTAGACATAAGATATCATAAGATAGTACATCAGATATATAGGCACGTTAGTCAATGCACGATAGTCAATGCAGTAGCAAGAAGGGAGGAAAACATGCCATGTTTGAGGAATCATGAGGAATCTGAGTGAGAAAACATAGGCTTTGTCCCCGAGTCTCGATATGGGCATCGCTCCTAGGAGCAAAGGGCATTTCTACTAGGAACAAGGACGCTATTGGTGCCTCCTGGCATTGCTAGTAGGAGCATTCTTACTAGGAGCAAGGATAATAACGGTCTCAGCTTGTGACCATACAGGTCCAGATACCGCCCATCCAAGAGGAAGCACGTGCCTCACCGGCGTTCGAGCCATCGGAGAAGATCAGGGCCGGCGACGCCGCATGTGCGTCGCCTGGTCCAGTCTCGGTGCGAGGCGCGGTCCGCACTCCAGACGCTGTCCAGACGCAAGCCGACATAGCCGAAGACAGTTTGTTGTGTTGAAATCCGACGCCGAAAGAGTTTGATATGGTTTATTATGGATAGCTATAATGATACTAATTATAGCCGAAAGGGTTTGATAATGGTTTAATGTTTGTTTCATTGTGTTTCCACTTTTCCATGTGATCTTGAACCAGTGTTCGGATGGTCGCCTTTTCCGTACCCAGAAACACCGTTGACTGTGTCGACGAACTTGGCGACGGCACCATTCGACAGGGTGTCCAGCCGCACTTAGAGACCCTAGCTTCTTGTTCCTAGTAGTAAGGAGCCCCTAGTAGCGTCCTTGCTCCTAGTAGCGATGCCAGGAGCCTCTAGTAGCTTCTTTGGTGACCAAAACGTGCTGTCAGTGCGGGGTTGAAGTGGGTGCCAAAAGCAAGCAACCGCCTTCTTGAAGCAGCAACCTTTAACGGTTTGCACAGATGATTGACTTACCCATTAAGGAACCATAATATGGGTTCTTTGCAAATTAAATGAAAAGGAGTCCAGGGCAGTTCAATATATATATATATGTTTTTTTCAAGTAGATTGAAAGCCTTTGACAATCGATTTGGAACAAAGATACCCTTGCTACTTGTTGCTACGGACGACGCCTCGATCGCTATTGTCATCAGAATCAAAACCATTCTTCAGGGATAACCGAGAACAGGAGAACTGGTCTTTCAGGAGGTTTTGCAATCCATGTTCGAGCGAGTTCATGCATGATACGCCATATCGAAAAGACGGGAGAGAAGACGGGAGACACTGTGGCTTTCTGCGCTGAAAACTGAGGTATGCTTGGAAGAACACTGACACATACCCATCAGCAACGCATGGAGTCTATGATAAGCTATGTATGTTTTTTGGCCAACCATGGCCATTGACCCACAGGTGCCTTGATGCCCAGAGCTGAGCAGTGAGGGAGAGGGGGCCTTTTCTTTTTGCAGGTCGTGGGCCTTGAGAGATTCTTTAACTCAGGGAGATGTTGGATTCGCCCACCATGGCAGGGCAGAAGAGCTAGAGATTTGAATTTGAAACTTCATGTTGCCTGGGCAAAGTCCCCGCAGTTGCCAGTTCAACGGACTCAGGCCACAACTTCGTGGTGTGGTAGCAAGGCTCCTTACTTGCGGGATTGACAGGGCGCTGGGTGTGACGTCGAAGAAGTACGCCCAAAGATGTCAAGTTAGGGAACACTCCAGTTGTCACCAACTGTCGTTGCCACTATACTTACATGCAGCTTATGACTTATTCCACTATGCCACTAAACATGCAAAAACAGAAGACAGAACGCCTGCCCTGCTAGTGGAAACACAACACATGCTTTTCCACTGGTGTTCGTTCATTCCAAAAACGCCAGCCCTCCGAACACGACGAGTTCGCGCTCGCTGCCCTGCTGTGTTCGCCAGCCGCACCGTCGGAAGTCCTAAGCCTCGAAGCGAATGGCCGACGCGAGTTCCGGGCGAAGAGGCCATGACCCACGTCGCCATGACCCACGTCGTGGGCGACGTGAGGAACCGGACGTCCCGAGTTCTTGAGGAAGCGATGAAAAACCCGGGGTCAACCAGGGTGACCCAGGTTGAAAGACCCACTGCCAAATATCTTTGTTCAAAGGGTACCCTGAAAAAGATGGGTTCCTCCACTACAGCGTCGCTTCGACAGGTTCCAGCAGCGGCAGAAGGAGCAACTTAGCCTGCAGCGTTCCTTTCTGTGACAGAAGAAGGGCTGAATGGTGCAAAAGCACTCCACCGTACCACGATCAGCCCAATATTCAGTATTGACTCTGACATCGTTTCAACAAACATCAAACAGAAGCATTGACTTTTCAAATTGCTACTCCCGACCACTCCACACCCTTTTGCGTTTGGATGATTTATTTGATTTATCCGGTTGGTGGAAGGTCCGCAGGCTGTGGAGGTTGTGATGGAAGCTGCCCCGTGGTTTTTGGCTTGATTTGAGAGACCCCCAACCAATGGGTTTGGGTCTATCCCCCTGTCAGGGGGTCGAACTGGGAGGCCTGCCAATTTTAAATCACACCCATTGGCTTGGTGCCAATGTTCTAAGTACGCGGACTGCATCTCGATTTCTTCCGACGAGTCAGACGAGTTGACCCATGGGCCGAGGCAACAAAATGCAGACGAGCAAGTGGACCAGCCAAAGTAGAAGACCTAACCTGCCATAGTTCTTTTGTTTGTGTCACGGCATGGCAGTGCAAAACAAGACATTTCAGAGCATTGGAAGAGACATGAAGAGACGGTGGCATTGAAATTGCGATTTCTTATACTACTCAGTAAACTTTGTTTGATCATGTTTGATCTAAATATGTTCTGGTGAGGGAAGACAGGATGTTTTCGGTTGGACTGAGGCAGCTGATTGTTCCTTGCCACCGTCACGACATCAAGCGCTCGAATGCCGTGCTCTCGATTGGAGACTTCACGCAAAGGCAAAAGAATTCAAAAGCAGTCACGCAAGACTTGAGACGCGAAGGCTTGCCGCTTGCCTGGCTAAAAACGCTTCTCTGTCAGTGTACTTTCCAATTTGTTGGGGGAGTATCTTTAGCCGTTCGCAATCCCCAATCGCCTGAAAATGCCTGAAAAACCGTGACCACGCTGGGTTTACCCACGCGGTGAAGAGTCGGAAGTTCCTGCCTGCCTCGACCAGCAGCGGTTTTTTCATGGGCGGTTTCTCAGCGCGACCACGTGGGTTCTCAGCGCGCCCAGGCTCCTCTTCTTTTATCTTCCAAGCTTCGAGATAACTTCGAAGGGCCGGTGCCGGGAAGCCAACCCTCTCCGAGCGATGCGGTGAGGTTTGTTTTGCGATGAGGATCGATGCAGTCGATTTGATGGAAGTTCTCGAGTTCCTATTTACATATCATATTATATTCAAATCTGATTCAACTATATTCAACTACTATTGCTGCCTTAACATCATCCCTTGTCCAAGGATGTTAGCTTCGTGCCACTTTTTTGGCCCCTGTTACTGTACTTCTTCGTACAAGTCCTTCCATGACCGACGACTACTCAGGCTGATCCGCGTGCTGAGCAAAGCACAGCCGCACTTGCGGATCTTCCTCCGTGCTTCGCCGAAAGCCGGGACCTTGATGATACACAAAAGAGGGATCGACACTGCTTTCCCAAACAGTTGGTAGATCTAATCTATCGGCATTAATCAGTACACATTGAACTTGTATATTATAACAATTAACATATATATATATATATATATTGCTTGTTTTTTTTGTTGTTAACACTTTCAATTTTCTTCGTGTTCTGCCTAATCATATATGATTGACGTTCGACGAAGACATTCAGCTCATGGTCGATCAAGAACTGAGACTCGGTCCGCTCGTAGCAACCGGTGGAGTTTGATGTTCCTGAACAGGGCTTTCAACGGCCCACGAGTTGAGAGTCTTCAAATGGGCTTACCTTGCATGATTTCGTAGGTGCTTTGTGTTGTTTTGCCTTTCTTTCGCAATGATATATACACATCATTACACATCCGAATACAAGTCTATGTACATTTGAATGACCTCCGTTGGAGCTTAAATTGGCCCCCAAACGGGTGGCGGATGCTTCTCATCGGCCATGATGGCCGCCACGACGGCCGTGCGAGGTCTTTGTCCAAGGCATCGAGGGTGTGAGCATCATTCAGGAGATTGTGGAGCAGGTGAAGACGGATGGGTTGGTATGTTGGTCACCTCTGGACCTATGGCCACCTTTTTTTTGCATGCAGGTGAAGAAACACAGATTTGGATTTGCAACGAGCTATAAACAGACAAATATATTAATTTGTATTTATATATAGAACAATTTCTAAATGTTTGCTATGATTGGGGCTGTAGGATGCCGTAGGATTTGATCAAGCTGGTGCTGAGCTGTGTGCTTGAGAAATTGGGAGGAGATTGCGGTTTGCACATGTTTGCACTAACGGGGTTGGAAAAAGAGCGAATGAGCTTCCTACAAACAAACGTAGAAATCCAAAGAAGGACAGTTGAAGGACACATGCAAAGATGAGGCTCATATGCATAGATGGCTAGATGTTTCTATAGATTCTAGCATTCTATAATGATATAAATATAGAATTCTCTAATTCTATAAATCTAGCATTCTATACTCATAGAATAGATAGATTCTTTTATATATTCCTTCTAGACTACATTCAACTCGTGGCTTTTCGTGTTGAACGAGCCGCACAGCAGATCCAGGCTCGGATCATCGACAAGCAGGCCCGGATCAGTTGGGAAGCCGGAGTGAAACGACGAGTACCTACGGTACCTGCAGACGACCACATGGAATCCAAAACCACTGGGGTCTAGAGGAAGATGGTCTTCAAACCGGTCAATTCTCAAGTTCCATGTGAGTTTGCAGGGGAGTACGAGCCCTCTACGGAACTGATCGCAGATGTTGCTAATGTATTTGCAGGGGGGGGGCCATGATTTGTTAGCACAATCGGGTTGTTTGAGTTTTGGTGGGACAAAGGATCCTTGCGGCGGATGGAGCTTGGTGGTTGGGAGTGTCCGGCCTCATACCTGGACCTACCGGGCGATTGGTGAATTGTCTTTGCTGATCTTTGCTGAAGCATTGTGTCACAACGTACCCATGTGGAAAGTAGCGAAGGAACAGTTGCATGAAAGGATTCGAAACTCTTTGCCGGATGTATCAGATGATGATATTTTATATGGAATGTATATATACTTACCAAACCCATCCAAAAAGCATGTAGGTTCACCTTTAGTCCATGTGATACTGTGCCAGAAAGCTCTTCTTGTGGCCGCCCAGCTGAGCCCAGCAGGTGGAGCTGCAAGTGGCTGACAGAAGAGAGGTGCAAACACTGTCCAGGTATAGTCATCCTGTAGAAAATAGCATGTGAGTTATGAGTTACTTCCATTCTTCCTTACAATCACATGCTGCATAGCAATATGTGTATTGTTTAATGCATCCACCGGTGATGCCCTTGGAACAGGCCTGTTCCGGTTTTGCAGGCCAGACTTGCTGAAGTCGCTGTACTGATTCTGGATCACTACCTCTCCCAGCGAGACATTTGGCATCTCCATGCTGCCATGATGCAGGCTCCATCAGTTGCGAAGAACAGTGTCCGACCGAAGAGCGGACGGAGTTTTGTTTCTGTTTTTGTTCGAGTCCAACGACCGACACGCTTTGTGTGGCCAAAGTGCTTGGATGATTGGATGATTGATGGCCGTGGACCCACTATTGGGTTTGATGGCTTTTTTGGGGTGTAGGTTGAGTAATTTGCAAGGATGGATGAGATAACCCAAACCAATTGGTGAATACGTCTTGTAACTTGATCCAAAACTCACCAGTCACATCCTGGGATGCGGTGCTTTGGATAAGCTGTTTCGGCCCCAAGAAATTCTTCCGCTCAAATTGCACACGTCATTGACTGGAGGATGGGGGTCAACTCCTCTACGCCAACTTCGACTATATGTGGCAAGCTCAGCTCCCTTGGCAAATCAGATAAAATCACTTGCTTCCTGTCTTTGAGAGAGGTGCTGCATGTGATTTCTCATGATGCTCGAAAGCTTCGGGATGGCAGCGGGAAAACACAAAGTCTCAGGATCTCGGACTGAAAGTCAACATGTTTTGGGCGATGACTTTGTTCATCAGATGCCCCCATGAATGCCTTCTCCAGCCCTGTGGAGCTTCTTCTTTCATGAGAAACAGATTTGTGCACACAAATAATTGTATATGTAGTAGGAACCACTGCCTGCTGGATCAATGTTGAACTGCAAGCGTGGCTCATAGAGCTTGTTTGCTGACAGTGACTC